ATTGGTGAACATTATTACATAAATATCACAATGATATATATATATATATATATATATATATATATATATATATATATATATATATATATATTTATTTTTAATTTTTTATAGAAAAACCTAACCATTAGGATTTGGGACCTTAACATATGAATGATAGACCAAATTTCACATGCATTGAATATGACGTGAGTCTAACACAAAAATATAATATTAGTTTATATATCTAGCTATTTATGTCTAAATGTCCTTTTTCTCAAAAGTAATTAACCCGCTTTTGAATTTTATTATTAATATTTTGATTAATAATTTTTTACTTGATTTGTATGGCAAATACTATGTTTAGTCATTTTTATTTGTCCATTAAGAGTGTTTATTACATTAAGTCAAATTAATAAAGAGAAATAAATTAATTGAATTAATTCTTTTTACACAAATAGGTGCAATTAAAAATTTAACTATGTAAATAATTATAAAAATATAACAATTTAGCGCAGAAATCCTTCCATCTCAAAAGAACCAAAAATCGATCACTACTTTATTAAACGATATAAATAACAACCATTTTATGTGTAATAAAAACATTAATCACAAAGCGTTTTTCACTACCAAAATAATTCATTGCTGCTAGAATATTTAGTCCTATTCGGTCCTATTCGGCTATTGAATTTTCGGTTGCACCCTGTTCAATCATAAACATATTATTATATTTGATATCTTATTTAATGACAAAAAGTTTCAATTAACCATCATATTTTGGTAGTTAAATATACATAATTTTAAATTATATTTAATTTTTATCTTATTAATACAATTTTTAGTAAAAACATATGTTTTACACTTTGGTAATAAAAATTTTAGTAATTTACATAATTAAAATTATTATATATTAAAATGATCATTTAAATTTTTCAATTATATTTGTATATAATTGTTTTGATTACAATTTATGTCACATTAATATTATATTAGTTTTTTTATCTAAATACAAAACATAGGTAGCAATTTACAGGTGTAAAAAATATATTTTAAAATTATTTATACTTAATGACTAAAACATTTGTCATATTGGAAATAAAAAATTTAGTGACTCATTGAATATTCATGATTATGTTGCGATTAAAAAATTAAGTTGATTGTTAAACGTTTCCTAATCAAAAGTATCTTTTTTATCTTATTTGTATTATACCGTTAAGTATTTAGCTTGATTTGGATATATGAATGTAGTTGTTAATAAAATAAGAGAGTAAAATTATTTTGAAACGAGTGTGTGTTTGTATATATTGATTTGGAATGATTTGTAAAGAAAGGCGTGTGACACTCATGCAGTAAAATTCTTCTTGTGTTAGGAAGAAAAAAAAGTAATAAATTAGGCTGTTTTTTAGGGAATGTCTATATTACCCTCCCTTAAAACCTTTTACGTTTATCTTGTTGTATGCAAAAACACTGTGGATTCCCTTCCATTGCACTCATAACACTTTACTTTTTCAGTTGCCTTTGCATAAGACATAAATAAACAATAATGAAAGTCTGCATTTGACACTGCTCCTATGCGCGTTGAATGCTAACATGATTGTGTTGAAACTTTGAACACATTCGTGAACTAAGTATAATAATTGAGAGGGCTTGGCCTTTTCGTGTATTGGCTGATATTATTTAAGGAGAGTGAAAGTATGTTTGTGATTGAGCTTTGTAATGACGTTGGTGATTGAAGGATAGAACGAAGTGAATGAACCATATCAGTGCAAGAGAGATAGTGTTGTTTTCACCCAACTCTGCCCAGTCCAGTAACTCGCACGGTCACTTTCTTTTATAATAGCTTATGATTTCATTAATTTAAGATGTTAACTTATATGTTTGGGATAGTTTATATAAGTTGAGATGATGTTCCTTTATCGTTGAACTGATGTTGATTTGTTGTTCATATTTATCATTTATACATATTTAGGCCAACATAATCTCGATTATAATACAATGTTTAATTGATTATGTTGAAGTTGATAATTAATTAGGTTGAGGTTGATAATTAATTATGTTGAACTACTTAGCGAAATTCATCCACTCAACGCTTCTCAATTCACTCAACAAAATGAGATTTTTTGGTCCTGAAAGCTACCATTCACTTAATGTATTCATGTCTGCTAAGCACTTTTACTCTTTTAAAAGGATTTGTTTTCTAGTGAGAATACACTCAACGAATTTTTTAACCATTTATTTCTCCTTATTTTTTTCGCATTTTGACGTATAATTGCATAAGTTTCACTACTTTACTCTTCAACACCTAAAATGTGAATAACTAGATATTATTGTGTGTTGTTACTATTTATTCTTTAATAATTATATGAGATAATTGTTATAATTAAATATAAAAACATAAATATTTGACCTTATCAGAATAACAAAACTTTTACTAAGTTTTTATTTGTTATAATCCAAAATAGTAATGATAAAATTAATTAATTAAATTATAATTGATTATCCAAACAGTACATGAACAAAAATAACGTGAAATAGGCTTAGTTTAGATATAGGAATCAATTTTATTTTGCTATTTTATAAATTTTCTATTTTAGGACATTAAACTTTTAAATATATAAACCTGAGAGATAATATTTTTAAATAATAATAATTAATTACAGTATAAATCATTGTCAAATTGGTGCTTAGTTTAGATTTAGGAATATTTTTTTTTGTTATTTCATAAATTTATATATTAGGAGATTAAATTTTAATCAAAATTTTATTATTATGTTATTCATAATATGATATAATTAATTAAAATAAAATATTTATAATATAATTAATTAAAATAAAATATTTATGTATACGTACTTAAAATATTTTAAGGATTTGAATTATATATTTATTGTCATCAAGACTCAGAGATAAAGATATGAATAACAAAATAGGAGAGTAAAGGTTGTACAAGAGCCTTTATTTAATGTGTTTAAGAGTTTAAATTATTACATATTAAATAGCATATTTTATTTTATTATTATTATTTAATTATTGTATTTAATATGAAAAAAAAATTAAAAAAATGTACACAACTTATAAATTTTTATTAAGTAATATAATTTTATTTTGTTAAATATTCATTCAAAATATAATTTTTTTAAATATATAAATTAAATTATAATGAAAATTATTATATAATTAATATATAAAATAATTTTAATTATACTTATATGTAAAATAATATTAATATATTTAAATATTATATATAATATAAATAAATTAACATTTTTATATTCAATTATATCATAATTATCATTTCTACTTAATTTATCTATTACAATAATAAGATATTTTGATCATTATACTATTAAAAATTATTATTTAATTTTTTATATTCAATCTTATCAATCATATTAATTATAATAAATCCTTTCAAAACTATTATTATCTTTTTTTTACCAAAATAATCCCGTAATCTATTTTAAATAATCTCAAATTTACTCCCATATAGTCCCAATCTAAATACAAGTTTAATGTCTGATTTTGATTTCTTTTGCAACATGGTGAAAAGAAGAAGAAATGGGTACCTATTTATTAATAGAACCTACGTATACATTCCAAATGATAAGTCTCTATCCCATGTCCTTCTATTTATTATATAATTTAAGTATCACACATTATTGTTTTTACGTCGAATTAAGTTAATATTTTATAATAATTATTTTGAAAACAAATTATGTTCTAAGAGAATTGTATCCCACATCAAAGAATAATTTTTATTTGGTCAATATTCATTATAAGATAGTAGAAAAAAATGACAATAATTATCTTATTTAATGTTTAAGTTTTTCAAACACTGAAAAATATTTCTTATGAAAAATGTTGCATTTTATAATGATATATATGAATCACTTTTAACAATGGAAATTTTTATTAACACTTTCAATGATATATATATATATATATATATATATATATATATATATATATATATATATATATATATATTATCACCTATTCTATTTATATTTCTATAGTTTTTTATATCATGGATCATCCTAAAACAAACATATGACAAATAACTTATGTTGATATTCAATGTAAACTTTTATATATGGTTGAATTAAGCTTAATTTTCATTAGAGAACAACTTGAAAAATATATAAAGGAATTTCATACAATTGAAGAAAAAATTCAATTACAATTCTCAACAAAATTAACAATTTCCTTATATAATATATTCAAGAATTTAACATATATTTTAAATAATTGATTAATACACTACAAATAAGAATTTCTAACAATTTCCTCTACTTTTTAGTTTAATATTTTGTGGGGGAATAATGTATAGCACATGCTTGTATAAAGTTAGAAATTATTTTTTAAAATAAAAACACACACATCTCAATAAAAATATTACGATTCAAATGCATAAGCACATACTGTATAACTAATAATTCAAAATAAATTCTATGGGCCAACATAGAACTTTGGTATATGGTGCACTATTAACTGCAACAGCACAGAAATTCCAAATTCCAAATTTTGAATACAGAAATGGTTGGTTGATTGCTCAACTTGCAAATGAAGCAAAGCGCTTTGATGTCAGCCTTCTGGAGACTGAAATTCCTTTGTCTCATTCACTCTTCCGTCTCCTTTCCACTGTCTAACTGCTACCCTCCTACGCTTTTCTCCCAAATTGCTATCATCATTTTTCCAAGATATGAATCCAACTTAACAGTCCCTGTGAAATAAGCAGAACAGAAGAACTTAATAATCTCTATACTTAGTTATCATTTTATAAACACATTTTCCTTTTCCTTCACTTATTTTATAATCACGAACCACACATTTTAACCGAGGCCAAAGAGACAAAGGCCAAATGTTGGTGATATATAATTTGGTCACTCCCCGTAATAAAATTCAAACTTTTATTCCGCACAAAGACCCCACTCTCCCTCCATAAATACACGCCAACCCTTCCTCCATTTCCTCATCGCCCAAAAAACCCTTCTCAACACTTTCATTGCACCAATCAAAACACGATGGTCATGCTCAACATCATCGCCATTGTCTCCGTCTTGCCCTTTCTAACTCCATCCCAAGCCAAAATTCCCGGCGTCTATTCCGGTGGCCCATGGCAAAACGCTCATGCCACTTTCTACGGTGGCAGCGACGCCTCAGGCACTATGGGTATGTAAATAATCTATAATGTACCATAGCATATACAAGATTTGTTATATATATCACATAGCACTGAGTAAAAAATACTATATAACATGTTATTATATGTTTTATAGGAGGGGCGTGTGGGTATGGGAACCTATACTCCCAAGGGTATGGTGTGAACACTGCGGCACTAAGCACGGCTCTGTTCAACAATGGGTTCAGTTGCGGAGCGTGTTTCGAAATAAAATGCACCGATGATCCAAAATGGTGCCACCCTGGTAACCCTTCCATCTTGGTCACTGCCACAAACTTCTGCCCTCCTAACTACGCTCTTCCCAGCGACAATGGCGGCTGGTGCAACCCTCCCAGACCCCACTTCGACCTCGCCATGCCCATGTTCCTTAAAATCGCACAATATCGTGCCGGCATCGTTCCCGTCTCTTATCGCCGGTACTTTTGACAACCTCGTTTGTTTCATTTCTCTTACTATAAAACAAAGTTTAACAATCTACTTTACTTTTTAAAATGATAGAAAATAGTAACAATTATGAGAATTATAGAAGTTGGCATCGTCTCTGAGACGGATGTTCTTTTTGAAAACGACAACCCTGCGTGGCGTTCGTGGACTTTAATAACTTTATTGTCGATCTATGATGTCCGCTTTCCCCATATTTCAATCTTGTCACGTAGCTTTTTCACACAACATGGTGACGTTAATATTAAAGAGACACGGTCATCTGAGTTAATTATAGAAAACTACTGCAATTTTTACGTCTAGAAGTAATTATGGTTAAATACTTGGAATTTATGAAACAATGAATGGATTATATATGCATTGAGTAAATGAGTTTAATTTATATACATATATTGTAATTTATAGAAGAAATGGTGAATGTGATTGGGTGTGGTGGGATGCAGGGTGGCTTGCAGGAAAGAGGGAGGGATGAGGTTCACGATGAACGGGTTCCGTTACTTCAACTTGGTTTTGATCAGCAACGTGGGGGGTGCAGGGGATATCGTGAGGGCGAACGTGAAAGGGTCAAGGACGGGGTGGATGAGCATGAACCGCAACTGGGGGCAGAACTGGCAAGCAAACGCGGTTCTGGTTGGTCAGTCACTCTCCTTCAGGGTGACAGGCAGTGACCGACGCACCTCCACCTCTTGGAACATTGTCCCCCCTACTTGGCAATTCGGCCAGACCTTCTCCGGCAAGAATTTCAGAATCTAATTCTTCCTACGTACTTTACCGTGTTTGGATCATTTGTGTCTTGTTTCCCACTTTTCTTTTTGGTTGCTTTTTTATACTACACTACACCACAATTATCCTTGGAATGTGGATAGGGAGAAAATGGTAGTGAGGCTTTTTGACTTTTGAACGTGATTTTGGGAATGAGTGGAGTGAAGGATGAATTATTATAGGACAAATAGGGCACCGTGTAAATCCACCAGAGAACATGAGGCTAGGCACGCTGTTTCATATTTTATTTCAGTATACATTAATTTCTCTTGCATTATTTTCTTTTATCATGACTTTGAAGCTTACTTTGAACCAACAATGAGTACATTTTCCCCCTTCAATGATTTAGGGATCAATAAACCTTGTTCACTACGAATGCACTTTATTTGTACTTAGTTTATTGAACTACAAAAAAAAAAAAAAAATGGAAAGCGTTTTTACCATATACTAATTTGCATGTCTTCACTAGGTAATCCATTTCCTTTTGGTAATTCATATAAAGCTTTCAAAACAGTATTTGTTTTATCATTGGGCATGTATGGAGGAGACTCACGCCTTAGTTTTCAATCGACAATCACAATAATCAACTTAATTGAAATATTAATTCTACCATCACAACTCAACATTTTTTTAGTTTTAACTTATATCAAAACTTAAACTTCTTCAAAATTGGATATTATTATTGATATAATTTGAACTTTTGTCCCACCCAATTAAGGAATTCAGGCGCATATTTTATAAAGGACTAATAACATTTGTTACTTCTTCCAACGGTTTTTATTTTCATATTAGGGTAAAAAAAAAACCAAATTACTAGTTAAGGTCAAATTTTTTAAAAATTATAAGTACGACTTTAACTTAGAGTTAGAGTTGAAAACGTGCTATATAATATTATTTTAGTTGTATTTTTTTTTAAATTATACTAATAGTACAAATTTCAATTTTTTTCCTTAAGATCGTGCTAGTATAATTTTTTTAAAATAAGAATAATGGATTGTTTTAAAATATATTATTTATACAATAATTTATTTTAATTTAATTAATTTTAAATATAAAATTCTTCTTCAAGATTCTAAAAATCTTGGCACTAACTCTGGGAGAAATTTCCTATTGTAGGAAAATAAGAGAATCTCAAACAAACAACTTTGAGGTATAATTAATTAAGCAAATCCAACTATTAAAGTTTGATTTTATTCAAATTTATTAAAAAAACTATACAAAGAATTTTATATATATTGATTTTTTTCTTTAATACTCAATATCTTAAAAGACATAGGACTAATTTAAGTTTTATATGATCTCAACAAAATTTAAGTCTTACATTTCTTTTTACTATGTACATTAAAATATTTATATATATTGTTATTATAAAAAATAAATTATGTAATTCTTTTTAAAAAAAAATACAAAAAAGATATAAATAAAATACAAGATAATAAACATATTCACTATTTTCTTATAAATATTTTACAATAAGACTGATTATATTATCTTTAAATTTTATTATAATTGAATTAATAATTAATAATATTTATCTACAACACTTATAATCTTAATTATCTTTTTACTATGTACATTAAAAAATTTATATATATCCTTATATTCTAAATTCTAAATGATAATAAATATATTATCTTTGCTGACAATATGTTATGAAGTACATTTCCCTTTAAATTTAATTGATATTTTTTTAAAATTTAATGATATTCTCTTTTTTTAATGTTCGAACATCTCTAAATCTCATGTTTCTTTAGAAGACATATTTTTAAGATATTACTTAAAAAAAATATTTTGAAATGTCTACATAGGAGTTTTCATTGTCACAACCAACCAAATTGAACATGATTTTTATAAAAAAACTTAAAAATAAAATGAAAATCATGATATATAACACAATTTCTGAAAAAAAAAAAGCAACCTACAAAAAATTTGTGCTAGTACGATTTCGTTGCGTATCCTAAAATAATGTTTTCATACACAATTTAATTTATTTTCAGAATTTTTTGCAAATCAAACATATTACCTAAAATATTATGTAAAAAAGTCTCTATCTCAATAAATTATTTTCTATCTTAAATATATGCACAAAATGTCAAAAATATGTTTTTCTCTTTAATGCCACTTCCAATATTAATGATTCACACCTGACCAAAAATCTAAAAAAAAAACATATTTAATTTGCCTTATAGTATTCTAAATTATTGAATTCTAAACATATTTCTAACAAAATATAATCTAAAAAACAATTCTAGCATATTTCTAAAAAACTATAATCTAAAACTAAATTCTAATTATCCCAATCCAAAATACATTCTCAAATTTGTATTTATTTAGAAATAATTTCTAAAATATTATTCAAAAATTATTTTCAAATTATATTATCCAGAAATAAATCCAAAAGATTTCAAAAAAAATTTAGAATCAAATTTTTAAAATATATAAAAAAAAAACCAAAAATACATTCTGCAAAGCACAATTCACAACTGTTAGAAAAGAAAATATTGGGTGCGGAAGAAACAAACAGCCTTTAACATTTGGTGATCTCAGAAGCCCAGAAGGGTATTATATTTATAGGCCCAAAGCAATGTTTTACGTGATGCCAAATCTCACCAATCCAGAATCGCTATTTCAATTTCTGCCCCAAACATTGAAATTTTATTCCATATGATTCTGATTGAGGTGTATTTAAGTGAGAATGGATACACTGAAATAGCAAATAGTAAGCTTTATAGTTTTTATTTAGAGGGAGGGAAGATTTTTTGCTACTCAATATATCATTTATCTCTATTCCCATCATTATTACTTTCTCATCATAATTTCTTCATGTGAAAGAAGGGGTGATTATTTAAAATAATTGCTTCGCTGTGCCTGTTCAAATTACGTACGTATGAGAAGAGAACGTTTGAACCCTCAAAATCATCGTAATGCTGAGCCTAGCTCCACGATCAAGACTTTTTACCAAATTACCATTAAAATAAAAAAGATTATTGATTAATCTATGCCCCCTTAACAGTCTAATTGTTGTATAGGATATAAACCAATTCTTCTCATCCCACAACCGAAAGCAACACAAAATACATGCATCAATTGATTCGAAAATTTTAATTCCTGTCTACGTTGAGCTTTGAAAAAACACCAGTATTGAGTGAAAAAAAATAAATAATCACTACCTCATCCTGAAAAATAAACAAATTAACAAGCTATTCATTTATTTATTACTATTAGAAAACAAAAACAAAACCGAAAAGGAGTGAGTAACACTTCATCGAACATAATTTGATTAGGGTAAAAAGAAAGAAAATGTGGGATGGAATCAGTAGAGAATGAGGGAAAGAAATGCCCATAATCTGTGGATACCATCCCTACGGTTGTCTGGCCGCTGCCTAGTAGAAACACACCAACCTTATTCCCAAAAAACGCTTCCTTTCTGATCAAACAAAAAAGAAAACCTCGGAAATAAGCCGTGGTTCCAACTGGACTTTTTCTATACGCACTGAGAGAACGGGAAAACAAGATCGGAGTGTTTCCTCGTACAAATTAAAAGCAGTGCAAAAAACCAAAACCCTACAGGATTGAGTAGAAGTTGGTAAAATAAATTATAGAAAACAAGAAAGGAGAAGGGCTCATATCAAGTGTAAATTTTAAAAGCACCGTCACTGTGGGAAAAAACCCAATTCGATTTGTGAAGACGAGATACCAAAGCCAAAACCTTTTGATGCAAAGGAGATGGCGGCACCTTCTTTAAGAATGGAATTAGGGTTCCCACTCGAGCCTCTCTCTTTGTAATCACAGCCCCGTTTCGGCTTAGGCAGAATCGCTAAGCCTCGTAGACGTTCCACACTCGTCTAAGCCATAAATATATAGCACCACACGTTTTTTTAGGGTTTCACTCTGATTTTTTTTTTCATTATTTATTAAAACTTGTAGTTTATGTGCATAAAAATGGTTTATTCTACATGAAAAATATATAAAAATGATTTAAATATGTAAAATAATTATAATTGAAATAAAAAAAATTAAGATAAAAGTTAATTTAAGTTTTTTGATAAATAATATATATTGCGATAAATTATTTAAAAATATTAAAATTTAAGTTATAGCTAAACATATAAAAATAATAAACTAAAAAAGTTAAAAATGTTTTAAAGTAATTTACAGTGTTAAATTAAAAAATTTAAAGAAAAGAATAATAACTTTAAAAATAAATGTAGAAAAAATAACTTATTCAATAATTCTAGTTTAATTTTTTAATAAAAAATATGATAATAATGATAATAAAAGTAAATTTTTTTTTTTAAATTTTAAATATAAAAAATAATATTTTTAAAAAACACTCTAACAAAATAGTTATCAATTAGTAAAAATATTTCGTTTTAGATTTTTTAATAATATTTATTCTCTTAAGAAAATAGTTTGGCACTGATATATGTATTTGAGAATTAAAATATCATTTATTAACAAAAAAATAAAATAAAATACCGACCTTATTGCCATTGTTTTTCATTTTAATTTAAATGACACAATACACTTAGTGGATTATTTTTCCTTGTGTTTCTTTGGTCTTGTTTTCTACTTGCTAAGTTAGAGATTAATTCTATTAATATTTTCATTGCATGTTTAAATTGAATTTGGTTTTTGTACAGGTTACATGTGTTTGAAATTTGATATTTTTTTTATTTAGCTTAATTTAGATATAAATAATTAATTTAATTTCAATTTAATTATAACATTTAAATAAATTATTTAAAAAATAATTTCATATATTATATATATTTTTTATATAAAATTCATTAATGTTATCATTAAAATATATTTTAGTTTTTATATACATTATTAATAAAATTTAATTTAATTTTTGATAGTAAATTATATTATATTATATGATTTTGATTCTAAATTTAATAATAATTTAATATATTTAATTATATATTTATAATTCTATCTTTTTATCATTTTTAATTTTTATATAATTTATAATTTTATTCATTTAAACTTAATAATAATTTAATATATTTATTTATATATTTTTAATTTTATTATTTTATCTTTTAATTTTGTATTTATTTATTATTTATTCATAATATATTATTTAATTTTTAAAAAAATTAATTTTTTTATTTTTTTATATTTATTAATTATTTATTAATAATATATTATTTAACCTATTGAAATCGGTCAAGATACTTCAGTCCGGAACTTTTTATAATGTAATAAATTTCTTTTGCTGCATGGTATTTTGGAGTTTAGTATCGTCAAATTCGTTTGTGATTAGTCCATGTTCTTTGTTTATACGTTCCTTTGTTAAAGCTGATACTGAAATTGAAGACTTTAAACTTTTGTAGTACTGAAAATAATTCAAATTAAACCGACAGATCAGGGCATAGGAAATATGGAAAAGTAAATACCAATGATTCAAAGAAGTTCAAAGATGAAAAGGTGGAGCCATGATTCATGAAAAGGAGATACATGAACTTAATGAGTTTTTATCTTCCAATGTGACGTGACCGCTCTTGTAAACTGTAGCAGCAGAGCAGGCCTTGATGTATGCCGGCGCAACAGACTCGTCACCTTCGCTCACTGCATTTATAACTCATCATATATTAAAAAAAATATAAAATTTTACATTTATTTTATTTTAATATAAATAAAAAAGATGGTTAGAAGTTGCCCCTTACTCGACTTTAACTCATCAAATTGATAATCAATTTTGTCACTTGTAAACTATTATCTCTTTTTTATTTTCTGTTTTCACTTAAATTCTAAAATTTGTTTAACCATATCTTAAAATATATTGAAATTAGTTTAATCCTCTCCCTATAATTCTATTACTCTGTTAAAAAGTGGATTTAAAAAATGCATATAGTAGAACTTAAGCCATACATAGAACAAAATAAAGTTAACTTAAAAACACATCCATGAAAATGTTCTTACAACACCGGTGCAACAGTTAAAAACAAACATTCTGAAGAGTCTGTGTCAGTAACACTTCGACCTGCACTCATCATACGTTCGCTATTATCCCTTTCTTACAGATTGAGTCGCCATTTCACGTGTTTTCCTTCTTTTTGGTTTTATTTTATTTAATACGAATTCAATTCCTTCTTCCAATGTAGCTCTCCTTCCTTCTCCTTCGTTCCACATTTCTCTTACAATAAACCTCCCACTCGGATTGTATTCACTCATTTCTATCAGAGCTGCCACCACTGCGTTAAATGCTCCAGAACCCATTTCCTTTTTCAACCTTTGTAGCCTACCATCTTCTTCATTTATAACTTCCTGAAACAATCAAGGTATATGATGTTCTTATCTTTGTGTTTAGGGAATGAGTCAAATTCTTTTAGAGTGAAATATACTTTGAAGAAGGTAAAAATAAGTTGCACCTTCGATTTCCCCCCTTTTGTTATTATTTTGAATGGATACCAATCAGGGTCCTCCACACACTTTTGCCATAATGAACACATTTCCAAAGCTGTCTGTTCTGCTTCCTCTTTATCGGTATTTCTTCTCCTCCTAAAAGTTGTAAGGAAAGGCTTGGTGTCTATTTCACCCATCCTCTTCACACCAATATTGTCACGAAGGTTTGATGTCTCCGCAATTCCCTGCAATTGAATAAGAGATTATTATCAGATCCTGCAAGCAGTATAAAACAAAAGAGAACTTTTAAAAGATAGCAGTATAAAATAAAAGAGAACCATTAGAAAACACTAAGACAGGTTATATATACAAAAAAAAAAATCTTACTTCCACCAATTTCTTCCTAGCTCTCTGAAGCTCATCATTGATTTCTCGTTCTTTAATGATTAGTGATTGGTAGAAATCTTCTAAGTCTTCAAGTGCCCGTTCCTTTTCCACTATATTCATATGTAAATCGCTCACCATATTCAGAAATTCATCTTCCATGTGCTTCATCACATCTAACTTCTTTTGAAGTTCCTGATTCTCAAATTCCAGGTTTTGAATGTTTTCTGTTTGTTTTTCCAGCTCAATCACTTTTGCTTTGAGTTGTTCATATTTAACCTGGATTGATAACATTACTAATACACCAACATCGATACCTCAATTACGCAGCTTAAAAAATAAACTAACCTTCAGTCCCTCGTCCAAATCTGAAACGTTATTATCTTTGTTTAGCTTCAGAGCCACCCGAAGAGAGCCAATTTGCATTGCATTCTGAAACACGAACATCGTAAGTGAGAAACGCAAGGGCCTTATACAAGAACCTGTAGCACACTTGAAATGGTAAAACAAACAGACTTTAACTTGATATTATATTTGATATACTATATATATCTATATGTATTTAGTTCAATCATAAAATTAAAGTATATTTTAAAATTCATATTTAAAACCAAATAAAATGAATACATGTACTGCAAAACGTTATCCACTACATCAAGAAGTTCAATTATTCATAACTTTTTTGATTTGCCTCATTAGAGGGACAAAAACCCCCACAGGCTTCCATTGAATTTAACATAAATCCAAAGGCACTGATTGCTACTGACCTTTCGAATCTCTTCACTAAATTTCTTCTGCTGCATATCATTTAGGGTTTTACTCTCTTCTAATTCCTTAATCATCCGCCCATTCTCCTCAGTAAGTTTCTTCTGCAGCTTATCATTTAATGCCTTACTCTCTGCCAATTCCTTTGTGATCCTCTCATTCTCTTTCTTGATACATTCAATGTCATGGCTCATTTTATAGTTCAAAACTTTCACCTGTTCTAATTCTGAAATGTTTGAAGCTAAGTTTAGTTTTTACAGTACAAAATACAAGGAACATGTAATAATAAATTTCAGTGATATTGTACCAGAAAAGAAGCTCAAGGATGAAAAGAACAAGGGTGAGTTGTGAAGAGCTAAGACAATGACACAGCATATAAATCCAGTTGAAGAAAAAAAAATCAATAAAGATTTTTCAAAACAAAATAGAATACACCACAAAACAATGATTATTATTACCAATGATAACCACTATTTCAGAAAAAAGATATAATATTTACCTTTCTGACATTCCTTATCCAGCATTGTTTCCTTCTCAACCATGTTCATAACTATTTTTAAGGATTTGTTGAGTTCTCTCTTGCAGCCGTCTTTCAAAATATTATTATCCTCCACGTCAAGAATTTTCTGCTTCTGGCTTTCAATCCTCTCCTTCAGGTTCACATAACCTATGCTTTGCTTGCTCATAGACTCATCACAGCTTTGGTTCCCCATCTACAAAATAATACAAATTCAAGGAGCCAGAATGAAAGCAACTTAGTTTTTAAACAAACCAAATTACCTAAACCTACTCATGAAAGAGTCATGATTCAGACACTACACCTTTTTAACCAAAGAGCCGACTCTTCATCTTCTATGGTCACTCCTATTGAATGATATACTAAAACATCTTTTTCATTTGTATATTTTATTTTAAATAAATTATGGTATATAAATTTTAACATTCTCTTATTGTAAAATTTATATTTTTCATAAATTTTTCATTTATATTTTAAGTTCTATTCATTTAAAAAATTATTCCATTTATGTTTTTAATATTCGGTTTTTTTTATCAAACTCTCCTATATCATGTTATTTTTACTATTTAATTAAAATAAAAAATAATCAAATATAATAAATTTAAGTATTAAATTTATAATTACCAATACAATACAATAGATTTGAATTAAATTTATTATGTATTTTTTAAAATTATCAATTATTATTATGATAATAAATTTCTATACAATTTTCTAATTGAAATATACATCTGTATATACGAGTTAAACTATTAAACTTCATTATAACACAAGTTTATAAACAAAAATAAATTATGTGTTTTAAAAAGTAATAAAGTAAAAAAATAAAACAAGGACTGGTCCATCTATTTTCACATATGATGGCTCGTTCATCATTGAGTTACTTACTGATTTTACTCAATTGATTATTCAACTTTAAGTTTAACTTCTTTTTTTTTCATAGCAAAATTTCAGAAAAAATTTAACCCTATGAACATTTGGTAAGCTAAATGAAAAGAAAAACAAATTTTTTCATACCCCAAAGAACAACTGCAGCATTCATAAAAAAAAAAAAAAAGGAATCTACCTGCACATCTACATTATGAGTCTTGGTAGATTCAGGTCAGCAAGAAAACAACTTAGTCATTAAACCTTAGTAGCACATATGAATTGAAAATGCATAAAGGACAAACAACAGTTTTATACTACAACATTGTTTTGTTACCGTTGTTTCTACAATGTGTAGTTCCCACTTTTTTTTTTAGTGTATCAATTATATGCTTTTGAAATACTCAGATAAGTGTCTGTAATAAGAGTCAGAGAAACAAATAACACATGGTAAGTAACATAAAACTGCTTACAAGACCTAAGGAAATTATGACTTTCTTCTACGCTTATGAGTATTCAATTGCTTGATAATATGCTGTATAATTTCTTTTAGAGTGGCTTTCCTTCCCTCTTTCCAGTTCCAAATTTCAGCAACTGCATATCTTCCACTTGAATTGTATTCTTCTATTTCCATTAATGCATTTGTTACAGCCTTGTACACAGTTTCACCGCATTCACTTTTCAGGGCTTTCAATTTTTCATCATTTTCATCCAATGTTTCCTGAAATTATGAGCGTAGCAAAACAATTACTCCACCTAACTTATGTCAAATACAAAGCCAACATTTTAACAACGATACTTTCTGATTTAAAATCAGTGGTCCACTACAAAAGCAAGCAGCATTTGAACTATCTCAGTAACAAATATTTATTCATAATGGTTTAAATTCTTATGTCCCCCCGTCAATAGTGTCAGTTCTTTTGTCATGTACCAATACTTACTTACAACACAGGCTACAAATGAAGGCATTGAAATTCTATGGTTGTTCTAGAACTGCTATTCACTTAATATTCTGACAACAATCAGTTTATTCTCTCAGATTTATAATTACAACAGCTATCATTGTTGCTAGTGTTGATTCTAACTTTCTCCAATGGGATCATCCTTTCATTATATTTAACATAATTATTTGACATGTTATGCAATTATATTAAACGCTTCCAACAGGTATTCATAATGTCAAAAGATTAAATATTTACATGCATCCCAGTGATCTTATCACATTTATTTAGGTAATAAAGATTATACTCATTTTGATGCATATCGAAAATTTTTAATCATATACCTGTAGTATGCCATTGGCCTCAATTTTTTTGAAAGGATGCCAAGTTGGATCCTTCAGATTCTCTTCCCATGATGAACATAACTTAGCAGACATCTCCTGCCATTGCTCATGTCTGTACTTTTGCAAGCACAAATCTTGAAAAGGTTTTGGATCTAATTCTCCCATTCTTTTAATTACAAGTTGAGATCGACCTCTCAACATACCTCGTAAACTCTACAAAGAAAATCGATGAGAGGTCACGACGCTACTTTTGCACACCTTAAATATGTTATCATGCTATGGACATAAGTTATACTGAAAGAGTATTCATTGTGGCAGATCAATTACAGAATGTCACTGCAGTGTGGTAGAATAAGGACGGATGAAATCTTACATTTATAGATTCTTCACGAGCATCATGTAGTTCTTGTCTATACTGCTGCTCTTTAACTACTAAAGAACTGTAAAGGTTTTCCACAAGCTCCAAGTATTCCATTTTGTCCTTTAGTTGATTTCTAAAACTAGAAATTTCCTTGTTCCAATCGCCACCACTTCCTGCATGACTCTGACCTCCTAACTCTGTTTTCAGCTGTGATGATAAAATTGAGAAGTCAAGGAAATCATTCCATTAGAACAATGAATTAAACAGAAATTATGGATATTCGGATAGAAAAATATATTAAGTATCAGATTATGGACAATTGGTTAGCTAAATGAAAAGAAAAACAATTTTTTTCATACCCTAAGATCCAGGTTGCATTATATCCTTGTCCTATGTCGTATCCATTCTTTCTAATTATTCTAAACAATGTTTTTTAATTATTGCTACATACCTTTTCAATCTCCTCAATAAAGTTATTTGATTGTAGATCATTTAGGGCCTTACTCTCCTCCCGTTCCCTGCTAATCTGTCCATCCTCTTTCTTTATACATTCTATGTCACGATTCATATTAGCATTCATGTCTTTCTCCTGTTGTGAATCTAGAAAATATAAAACAGAGAGTTGAAAAGAAGAAAGCATACGAAACATTAAGGCAATTTTTTATGAAATTGTGCTAGAACCTCATGGAACTATGCAGGAGAAATAAGAATGTCACAGGAAAGTAGTCCCAAGTCTAGTGGACAGAATTGTATTCACAATGACTTCATAAAAAATGCGGTTTCAAAGCAAAATCAAAGTATGGAATACCATATACATTAAGATAACACTTTTCTTTTCAAACAGAACAACTACATGTTTTATGATTCCCTCAATCTCAGATTATGAAATACCTTTATGACATCTTTCATGCAACTTGTCTCTCTCATTCATCAACTTCTGAACCATGTGCATTGATTCATTATACTTGCATTCCGTTTCAAGCAGATCTCTCTCTTTGCAATTTATATTCTCCACAAGCCCAATAATGAGTCTTCGCACACATGCAAGTGTCTCTCTATGTTTATGCTCCATCTCCGTTAATATACGATTCTTGGAATCAATATCTCTCTGAAGGATCTCAATAATCATTCTCTGATGGCTGAGAGCCTCCTCATGCTTGTTATTGTGTTTCCGCATTTCAACACAATTTCAAAGAGCCTGCACAAATTAAGTACAAGTCATCATTATCATCTTTCTATTTTCCAAACCAAACACCCAAAATTCAATAGCAAACGAAAATGGAACAGTGAAAACTATTCATTGTCACAAAATTCATGGCTTCTGTGCGCATTGCAATGCAACTCACAAGTAGTAACTCAAAATAATCACCAAAGTTTTAAACTTTGACTAAGACAAGGTATAGAATTGACATGGGAAGAGCTGTGTCTCCACTTGCGAGAGAAAACATAAGATTTCAAATTTTTCAATCCTACATTTTTCACAAAGCCCACATTTTGATGCATACATTTTTATTTTTTGTGCACCAAATACAGCTGAGAAGCAAGAAGAATACTACTCTGCTACAACAATTACAGTTACAAAATAGAAAAGAAAAGATATGCCAATATATGAGAGAAAGGGAGATTGTTTTAAACGACACAGTGGAGAATGAAAGTTCTGATAGGAAAGGGAAGAGAATGAGTGAAACAATGCCTAAACCAAAACCTGGAAAAGACTCTCTGCTAGCAGGACTTTTATAATGTCACGGAATCCATGTGATACAAAAGTTGAGTTTCTCATGCTGCACGCGTCTATAATGATTTTGTTCAATAATTTTTTAATAAACTTTCTCTTTAGAAATTTTACTTCTAGTAATTCATCCATTTTTTATAAAATTTAAACTAATATTAACTATTTTGTAATTATGTTGTATTTCTCTCTAATTTTTAACATAATATTTTTCATTTATATTAGTACTCGTTAGATATTGTTTATATATTATTTGATATTGTTAAGATATTGTTAGATATTGGTAACCACAATATCAAACAATATCTTCTGTTTATTACATTACTTTCGATCTACTCTTTTAGTTGTATTTCTCTACTATAAATAGACCACCCTATGTGTGATTTATACACAAGGGAAATTAATTCAAAACTATATTTTCTTTATATTCAACATGGTATCTAGAGCTTAAGGTTATCTTGAATTTTTTTCCGCCTTTTGTCCACTTGTTGGAGCCGCCCCATCGCTGCTAGAGCCGCCCTACCGCTGCTGGTAAGCTGATCCTCCACATCGAAAAGAATTATCTTTGTCATTGAATTTTATTTGGTAGTGTGAAAGTGCATGTTTAGGAAAGTTCTGCAAGGAAAGACTTGGTATTTAAGTGTGTCCATTAGTGACCCACCTCTCTTTCCGGGAACTTACCTAGTGTACTAGTTCACGTTATCGTCACCGCTGCCGCTGGAGCGATCCATCGGGTCCGCCATTGTCGGAGAATTCGCCGGAGTTTCATTTTTTTTACCGGTGACATATGATTTTGCTTGTCTCGGTCGGGGTTTGTTCTCCCGCTCTTCATGACTTCTTCCACTATTTCCAATTTTGTTAACGATTCTTTTGTGTTGACATCCCATCGTGATGACCGGGCTCGCCCTCGCAAACAGGAAAAATGGCGTCCTAAGTGTGAACATTGTGGCAAGCTAGGTCACAAGATTAACAAGTGTTATACATTACATGGTCGTTCTCCTCGATCTGTTGTAGTTGTTCGGACCAATCTTTCCCCACCTTTATCTGTAGGGGATCTTCCTTCTTCTGTTGCATCCGACATGTCTGCTATGTTCAACAAATTTCTCGAATGGTATAAGGATCAACAGTCTTCTAGTTCCACTATATCTGTCACACATACAAATACATATTTTGCTGGTCTGACCCAATCATTTTCTCCTGGTCCTTGGGTTTTTGATTCAGGAGCCACTGATCATATTACTGGTAACAAATCTTTGTTCTCCTCTTTATCCTCTCCTAATCATTTACCTTCCGTTACACTGTGGCTCGATGGCTCTCATGAGTTGGAACGGTTAAACTCTTTCCTTCTTTAACCATTGATAATGTTCTTTATGTCCCCGGGTCTCCTTTTAACCTTGTTGTCCATCGATCGTCTAACTCGTTCTCTTGATTGTGTTGTTACTTTTACCAACAATTCCGTGTGTTTACAGGACCGGAGTTCGAAACAGGTGATTGGCACAGGATGTGAGTCTCATGGTCTTTATTATCTCCGTCCCTCTACACATGTTAGTACGGTTATGGAGTCTCCCTCTCTTCTTCATGCTCAGTTAGGTCATCCAAGTCTTGCCAAGTTACAGAAACTTGTCCCTGCCTTGTCTAACTTATCTAGTTTGGCGTGTGAGTCATGTCAATTAGGCAAGCATAGTCGTACTTCCTTTCCTCGTAGTTTCACACGTGGTGCTTCGTCCCCTTTTGCCGTGGTTCACTCTGACATTTGGGGACCTAGCCGCGTTAAGTCTACTTTAGGTTTTCAATACTTTGTTACTTTCATTGATGATTATTCCAGATGCACTTGGTTATTTTTGATGAAAAATCGTTCTGAATTATTTCATATCTTTCAAACTTTTTTTAATGAAATTCAAACTCGGTTCGGTGTTTCTATTAGAGTTTTGCGTAGTGATAATGGCCGTGAATATCTTTCTCATTCTTTTAAACAATTCATGGCTTCTCACGGTATTTTGCATCAAACTTCTTGTGCTTATACACCTCAACAAAATGGTGTAGCTGAACGTAAAAATAGACATCTTATTGAAACAACTCGCACACTTTTAATTCATGGAGATGTTCCTCAACATTTTTGGGGTGATGCTCTTCTTACTCGCATGTTATCTCATTAATCACATGCCTTCTTCGGTTTTAGATAATAAAATACCTCATTCCATTTTATTCCCTCATGAACCACTTCATCCTTTACCTCTCGAAAGTTTTCGGGTCTACATGTTTTGTTCATAATTTCAATTCAGTCCGGACAAGCTTTCTCCTAGATCACATAAATGTGTTTTCTTAGGGTTTACAAGATCACAAAAAGGATACAAATGTTTTTCTCCTTCTCTTAACCGTTATTTTGTGTCAAAAGATGTCACCTTTGATGAGTTGTCTCTTTATTTTAAAAGTCAAACTTCACCTCTGTCTCCATCCAATCTTGTCAACACTCCTAATACATTTAATGTTCCTGTTGTTTGTGACCCTCTAATTGTGTCTTCTTCACCATTAGTTTCTCGCTCCGCAGTTAGCTTCTTCTCCACTGCCTCTTCGATTTATAGTTCTCGAAACCAATCACAACCACCACCATGTGACTCTACTCAAGTGCCAACTACTCTGTCTCCTCCGGATCGACACATGAGTCCGACCTTCCCATTGCCCTCCGAAAAGGTATTCGTTCTACACGTAATCCCTCTCCCCATTATATTGCTTTGAGTTATCATCGACTGTCATTACCTTTTTATACATGTCTTTCCTCTATTTCTTCCGTGACCATTCCAAAAATTGTCTGTGAAGCTTTAGCCCATCCTGGTTGGCGTCAGGCCATGTTAGATGAACTAAGTGCTCTTCATAATAGTGGAACTTGGGAATTGGTCCCGTTACCGTCTGGGAAATCTGTTGTTGGTTGCAGGTGGGTGTTTGCTATCAAAGTTGGACCTGATGGTACTATTGATCGCCTCAAAGCTCGTCTTGTGGCCAAAGGTTATACTCAAATTTTTGGGTTGGATTATGGAGATACCTTTTCCCTCGTGGCAAAGATGGCTTCGTTCGTTTATTTATCGCCATGGCCGCTCTTCAACAATGGCCTCTTTATCAACTCGGATGTTAAAAATGCTTTCCTCAATGGTGATTTGCAAGAAGAAATATATATGGAGCAACCTCCTGGGTTTGTTGCTCAGGGGAGTCTTCCGGGATGGTATGTCGTCTTCGCAAATCCCTATATGGCCTAAAACAGTCTCCTAGGGCTTGGTTTGGAAAGTTTAGCAAGGTTGTTCAACAATTTGGTATGACTCGGTGTGAATCAGATCATTCCGTCTTTTATCGACACTCGAGTGCTTGGATGTGTTTACTTGATAGTATATGTTGATGATATTGTTCTTACAGGTAGTGACAACCATGACATCTCTCGGTTGAAACAACATCTTTGTCACCATTTTCAGACCAAAGATCTTGGCAAACTTAGATATTTCTTGGGTATTGAGGTAGCACAGTCCAATGATGGTATTGTTATATCTCGGAGGAAGTATGCCATAGATATTTTGGAAGAAACTGGGTTGATGAGTTCAAAGTCTCGTTGATACACCCATGGATCCCAATACTAAACTTCTACCAAATCAGGGGAGCCTATATCTGATCCTGAGCAGGTATAGAAGATTGGTTGGAAAATTGAATTATCTTACAGTTACTCGTCCCGACATTTCCTTTGCAATCAGTGTGGTAAGTCAATTTCTTAATTCACCATGTGAAGATCATTGGAATGCGATCATTCGTATCTTGAAGTATATTAAAGGATCTCCTGGAAAAGGATTGTTATATGCTTCTAATAACCATACAAGAGTTGTTTGCTACTCGAGATGTCGATTGGGCAGGATCTCCTTCGGATAGAAGATCTACATCCGGATATTGTGTCTCCATTAATTGGTGGTAACTTGATTTCATGGAAAAGTAAGAAACAAAGTGTTGTGGCAAGATCCAGGTGCGAAGCAGAATATAGAGCTATGGCCTCAGCTTCCTGTGAACTTGTTTGGCTCAAGCAATTGCTTAGAGAGTTACAATTTGGAGATGTCACTCAAATGACACTTGTGTGTGACAATCAGGTCGCTTCTTCATATTAGTTCTAATCCTGTCTTTCATGAGAGGACCAAACACATTGAGATTGATCTGTCATTTTATTCGAGAAAAGATTATGTCTGGAGATATCAAGACTCGAGTTTGTTAACTCAAGTGATCAGTTAGCAGATATTTTTACTAAATCTTTACTGGGTCCTAGAATTGATTATATTTGTAACAAGCTTAGCACATACGATTTGTATGCTCCAGCTTGAGGGGAGTGTTAGATATTGTTTATATATTATTTGATATTGTTAAGATATTGTTAGATATTGGTAACCACAATATCAAACAATATCTTCTGTTTATTCTGTTACTTTCAGTTACTCTTTTAGTTGTATTTCTCTACTATAAATAGACCACTCTATGTGTGATTTATACACAAGGGAAATTAATTCCAAACTATATTTTCTTTATATTCAACAAGTACAAATAATTCCGATAATAATTAAAATAATAACTCTTGCAATGCTATGATCTAAAAACTAGTACTATAATAATAATAATAATAATAATAATAATAAAAGAGAAAAAGTTACAGAAGTCATTTGAAAATTAAAAATAATTTTAATGTCAACATAGTATACTAATATCTTAATATTAGTGTTTTTTTTCTTGAGTTAACAGTAAAAAACTAAGAAGAAAGGAAATAGTAATTACTACATTATCTAATAAATATATTGATTTATTGAATACAATGATGAAATATTATCCTATCCATTTATGAGTGATTCAAAACTAGTTAAAAAGTTTGGTATGTTACCATTGCTTCTGCTAAAATCAAACCCCTGGATTAAATAATAAATACAAATATTCAGATTTATAAAGTGCTCTTAAATTCTATTCCATCGTTCCGCTTCTGCAATAAGAGATATATCAAACCTAACTGAATAAAGAGATAAATTGTCTCTCACTGAATTCCATGAGTAACTAGAGTAATTATAGAAACAAGGTACGTAATGAAATCCTATGAGTAAAATAGAAATAAGAGACATGAAAATAATAATAATAGTAGAAACTATGCACAATCCTGATCATTCTCATTATTTTCTTTCATTCCTGTTCTGACGGAGGACCTCCCAATCCGCCTCCGTGAACAAGGTGTTGGTCGACCGAGGAGGTGGTGAAGTGGGCTTCGGTGCAAGAAGTCTTTCAACAGGCACCTTCACACATGCAGAAATTTCAATCTCTTTTATCTTTGATTCATCTCTATCATTAATATCTATCCCCTTTGTTTCCAGGTTAATTCCCGTAGCTCTCTCTCTCTCTCTCTCTCTCTCTCTCTCTTTTCTGAGGCCAAGTTTTCCACCTGCAAAAAGCTCAAGACTGTTATTTCTCAGCATCAGCCCTGTCGCACAAACCCTTCCATAGTTGTACATTCTTGACATTCAACTTACTCAACGCTTCATACAAGTAGGTAAAGTCACCGCTCACCACTCTTCATTCTAAGAGTTAATTTACCTTGTCATGTTCAAGAAGCTGGATGATGTTGGCATTGAGTTGTTCATTTTGCTCCTGATTATAAATAAATGGTCAAGTAGGTTACTTTGATACAAGGATGCTTATGGCCATTTACTTCAGAAATTATTTAGTTTTGAATAATCATTTATTCAAATTAATATTTATGTCACGTATAATTAAATATTATAAATAGCTTTACAAAATTATAGATTGCATGCTGAAAAAACGAATAATTCCTCCAACGTTAAAAAGGTTAAGATTGTTTTGTCTAGATCATTGGATAAGAATGGAAGATAGTGGCTATTACATGAAAATTAAACTTGATCCATCTAGTATAGCATAAATACCCACTTCAATTCAATTCTAAAGAAACATTCATGCAGGTGTATGACTGGACAGCAGGTTATGATCATAATTAATAAACTTATGCATCCATTTTCTGTTTGAATGATACTGAGAATGTCATGGCTGGATTAAGCATGACTGTGATTATAGTTAACGAATTTCAAAACACTTTTCACCGCAGCACTTTGACCGATCAATGAATTACATAAAATCATAACATATCATTCTAAGCATTACCTTTTCAAGTTCTCGTTTCCTTATCCGTTGAATTTCTGTTTCAAGGTCAATGATTTTAGCATTGAGGGTTTCATTTTTCTCCTGGAAAATAAATGGTCAAATAGCATATATAGTAAAGCTATTCTTTTACTTGCTAGGATCCTTGAACTTCATGTTCAAAACTTAGCAACAGGTACACACCTTTAGATCATCGGTCAGTTTCAATAATACACTTTCATAATCATTTTGTTGCTTCACAGCAGCGATGTGAAGAGAGGTAATTTCCATTTCATGCTGTAGAACAATGAATACCTGCAATGTTAAAAAGATAAAAAGCTTCTGCAACCATCTTAGGAACATTCAAACTGACACTAATTACATACTAGCTTTCACAAGTTAATCATAGAGAATAAACCTATTCATGTATGTTATGGTTATCACTTGCTTTTGAAGATAATGAGAAATTTATGGCATGACTGTGATTATACAAACTAAGTCACATACAAAGAAGTTACGAAGAATGACATCCTGTTCATGCATTAATATGTTCTTCTTTACCGCAAGATTTTCATTGCACGTTTATGCATGAATATATTAAACTACGACAATGGATGATGACCTTAATCATAATATAGTAAAAGCGTGTTCATGTTATGTGGTTTATGTACACATGACAGTTGAAAACATACATGTAAACAGTGTCAAACTGCCAATTAGTTTAACTGGGAAAGTTATATCCTTAATCATGTCAAAATAATTCTAGCTCCAATTAAACTAGAAATTCCGCATAAATCTTGTAAAATACCACATAAGTTTATTTCTCAAACAAGAACTAAGATTTAAATATGTAATATTTTCTATTTGGAGGCATGTTAATTGTTACTGACAGTTTGAGTCACCTCAGTAAACTTCTTTTGCTGCAGATTAATTATGGCCTTATTCTCTTTCAATTCCTTGCTGATTTGTTCCATGTCATGACTTGGACTAGAGTTCATGACCTTCAACTGTTGTAATTCTGAAAAACATGAAATGTAACCAATCAAAAGGAAACGTGTAAAGTAAATTCCAATGATATTCTAGAAAGAAATAAAATAAAAAAACATATAGTTTTACTTTCACAATCGAAGGCAAATGTAAATATCACTATACCAGATATCAAAATAAGCGGAATTGTTTTACTCGTCAAACCTTTAAATACAAAGAAATTTTGTTTTCCTTTTAATGTATTTTTGTAATCTATTCGAAAGCACACTTTCAGACAGATATTGTAATAGATTCCCATGAAAATTGACAAAGGAGAGAAATGTATATTTAGTGATATGTACAATCTCATGATATACCTTCATGACATCCCCATGCAACGTGTCGCCCTCCCCCATCAACTTCATGATCATGTTCAAAGATTCCTTATACTTTTTATCCATTTCCAACATACTTCTTTGCCTTGAATCAATGTTCTCTGCTACTTCCACCATGAGTTTGTTCATGATAATAACTTTCTCCGCGTGCTTATGCTCCATATCTCTATAAATTTCTGACTTTGGTTTTGAATTTCCTTCACAAAGCTCACTATAGCCTCCCTCTCTCTACTCAAATCCTCCTCCTCAAAAGTATGGTTCGTCATTTGCTACAGTTTCAAGCTGCTGCATAAAAAGACTATTAATTTTATATTTTTCATGCACGCCACGGCAAGAAAGAACTCAAATATTTATGAAAATCGTGAATAAATTTTGTTTGATTATTACAAGCGAGGTAAAAATGAAATGGTGAAGCCTAAAACATTATAATGTTAATTCCTATGACAACATCATTTCTTGTCCTAAAACAGTATACAACTCATAAAATAAACATGAACAATTAATACTGTAACATCAAGAGAAAAACGAGATGTGAAAAGGACAACAATGCATTAAAGAAAAGCCTGTAACGGGAATAAACTTTGCCAAAACAGCCAGTGCAAATGAAAATAAGCTAACCCTTTGAGATGGAATGGAAAGTGAAAACATGGCATGCATACCCAAGAAAGGACAAATGGTTGATGATGAACTGGTTCTTGTGCAAAGAAGAGGGATTTAAACTTCAAACTGAAACGTTTTATAAGAGTGAAAGTTAAAATGGTTGGCATTTATTTTATAATTTTCATTCCTCTAATGATTATTAAATATATTTATATGTATATTTATTATGATTCTTTTTCTTTTCATATTCTTTTACATTTTATGTGCCATTTGGACTTGCTTTGACTAATACACTACTTGTTTGAGTTTTTTTTTTTTTTTACTTGATTTGTTACTCTTTTTATGATTTTTAATTAATAATAAAGAATGTATCTAAAAATATTTAAGGAAATTTGCTATCAATATTCCTCTTTTAGATGAATGCTTGTTTTAAAGCAAATGCTGATAATTTTATAATTGTCCTTGTATTAATTTTGTAACCTAAATATACTAACTATTTTAATCCTTAAATAATAAATGTTGTGCATTATCTTAAAATAAAAAAACCTTCACTGGTATTATTCTCTCTCCATACATTATTTTTCTCTAATGTAATTTTAAAATATATTATAATTACAAACAAAGTTAATTATACTAACTGAATTTGGTTGTAAGTGTTTTATATTCAAAGAAGGGGAGGAGTATATATATATATATATATATATATATATATATATCATTTAAAAATATTTTTAGGGGAAGGTTAAGTAATTTACGCGAGGTTTTATTTACAAATTTCATTGTGTTCATTATATAAAGTAATTGAAAGTAATTTTAAATTGACTGGGTCAAAAAGAAGACTGAACTTAGAAATCAAGTTTAGAATTATCCTGCATATGGATAGTTATCATTTGGATTCATTGTTGAGACAAAATGGTACTAAAGAAAAAACCCTGTTCTCAAATGTTGAAAAAGGGAGATAGGTAATTAGAGAATTGAATTATTACTTACAAAATTTGATGAAAATTAAGTGACCGAAATTTGAATCGCTAAAGATAATTTTAACTTTGTTAGTTAAAAAGAAAATAACTTAAAAAAGCTTATTAAGAAAGACAAATCGATTTCACTTTTCTCAATGAAAAAAAGAAAAAAATCAATTTAATCCTGTATTTTTTCTTTAAACTTTTCAATTTAATTCTTGGCGTTTTAAAATTATTTTTGCATGGATAGTTAACATATAGGTTTTACTTGTCACTATAGTTTTTAATTTTTAATAATTTAAAAGTTACAGAAAAAATAAATAAAAGAGCATGTCTTCTTTAAGAATCTTCTTCCCTTTAGACTTCTTCTAATGAGATATTGTGCTTCTCTTCTCTCCCATTAATTTTCCTTTTTGCTTCTTCCAATTCCCTCTAAAAGGTATTAATCCCCTCCGAAGGTGTGAACCAACAAGACGACACCCGTGTTTAATCTTTACTATGAATTAAGTAGAACTGTCTACAGATTAAAATTTTGTTTCAGAAAGACATTTTCAAATCTGTAAAAGCACAAGTTTTAGAACTTACATGTTGAATGGATTGCTTCAACTCTTTCTGCCACCATGCAGAATTATACCTTGTCTTTGCCTACAATTATCCTCATTATTTAGCATCCGAACTGCATTGCCTTGCATTTAGGGTAATTGTTTTCTTTAGGCCCCGTTTCTGATCCAACATAATTTTTCCAATACTGGTGTAAAATAACATCCCTTAAACAGACTTTATTTAACATTGTGTAAATAATACTATACATGAAAGATTTTAGTATCTAAAAAGATTTAGTTAGATCATGTTCAAGAAAGAGTCAAATATTCTTGTACCAGGATGTCATGTCCTCAAATAATGTTAGGAATAAAAGTCAAATGATATAATACAAGTTTAACTTCAATTACTCATAAAGTTAAGATTAAAAACCAAATGATATAGTCAACGAGTTTAACTTCAATGTCTTTCCCCAGAAAAGATGAATGCAGTTTGCTTCCGGGCAACATGGCCACAGAAAACAAGTGCCAAGAAATTAAATAGTTTGGCATTATCAAAAATTACTTAACCTAATTTACACAACCACTAGGTTCAGTGCTCTCCCACTATGGACGCATGCTACCCGGCTGCTCTCTTCCGAAGCCAACATCAACCTTTCAGAATACAATCCTTAGCTACATGCCAATAATTAAAACGATAACAGTAATTGTAAAAAGAGAATGTGGTCGTGAATAATGTAAGTTAACTGCTAATTTCTTGGGAAAGTTAACTTAGGCGAGGTAGTTTTATAGTAATAGCTTTTAAAATGTTTTTCTTTCTACCATCTGGTTGTGCATACAGTTCATAAGACAAATGCAGTAACCTAACATATTTATATACAAACCTTTACGCCATTCCCCTCTTGCGTTTAAGAACTTTCCAATGATTCAACAGAAATTGTACTCCTTCTTTCAGAGTTGCTCTTCTGCCTTGTTTATAGTTCCATAATACTGAGGTTAAATATCGCCCACTAGGATTATGTTCATTTATTTCTAACAACGCCTCCACCACTGCTTTATATGCACCTTCACCCAAGTCATTTTTCAACCCATTCAGCTTTTCATCATCATCTCTAATAATTTCCTGAAATAAAAATGCATGAACCCAGATTACCAAATGCAAGTGTTCGTTTTATAAATTAAGAGAAATTTTTAATATAGATGTAAGCTAAAATGAATTAAAAACATCTGTATTCATCAAATTGCTATATTAGAATGATATTTGTCCTAAAGCTTTGGAGGAATAATTGAAGGGTGTAGTGCTGTTCATGGTTAAAACATATGCTAGCAAAACACAATAACACACTGTTTCTTTCTAACACACTCCATCATTTGGTAAAATTCATGGGAGGTCTAATCAATGATGTGTGTCAATGACTTCCATTTATTACGTACGGGAATCTATAAGGTAACTGGTTCTTCAAAAGACCTGTTTCTTCCCACCGAACAAAATATCCACACTCATTCTACCTTATCCTGCAATTCCTCTCCTTCCCTTTTCTATTCTCTTTCAAACAAATGCCATCATTCTCCCACTAATCCTTATCAGCTCCGGATACACATGTTCTAGACTATCTACATGTATTCCCTTTTTTTCTAGGATTATCAAAATATACAATCCAACTCAACTTGAATTGGTCTTAGGAAAAAAATTTAATAATTCAACATGACTTATATTTTAAAAAAATGACATAATTTTTTATTTAGTCCGACTCTATTAAATCAATGAACCAATTTTAACTTGATTAAAAATAAAACAAAAAATTATAATATATCTATATAAAAATAATTTATCTAAAAATTTAGTTCAAAATTTTAAATAAAAAAATAAAATTTAAGTTAAATGAAATTAATTTTAATTTTACATATAATGATTTAATATGTAAATTATAAAAGAAGGGATTGATTCACTCCAAAAATAAGAATAAGAGTCAGAGACGTTTATAACATTTCCTTTTATAAATTGAAAATTATGTAACGTTTATAGTAATAGATAATAGATAAAAGATTAGAACTTTAAGTTTATACACCAATCTATTTCATTTGCTTATTAAAAATCATCAAAATAGAATAGTTATTAAAAAAAAAAAAAACTGCTCTGTCCTCCCCCTCCAAAAGCCAACTTCCAAACACACCCTAAAGTGATAAAATCAATATAAATAATACACTTAAGGTATCACTAAGTTAAACTGTGAAAGTATTACAGGTTCAGAAAGACATGGTTCTAATGCAGAGTATGGAGACTATCAAAACATTTATTGTCTTCTTACAAGACAATAAAGATAAATAACATGCTGAACCAATTTTGATTAAGAGACAATGAAGCACCTAGGCTTCAGGAAAATTTCAGGAGATCTATCAATCTGTTTAACAAAGACACACCTTTTCTTTCCCTTCAACCATGATAACTTTGAATGGATGCCAATCTGGGTCCTTTAGATACTCTTCCCACAATGAGCACAGTTCTGATGCTCTCTCTTCAGCATCCTCTTCATTGTACCTTTTCTTCATTGCTTCAAGGAATGGTCTAGTGTCAAGTTCCCCCATTCTTTTCAAACGAATATTTCCATGAGATGGTAACTCTTTAATGCCCTGCAAGAGAGTATTACCATTAAATTTTGAAAGCAATATTGAACAGTAAAAAGTTCAACCAAACTTTGAACATTGCAAAATATTTCAGAACATAACACCCAAAATCAAAACATATAAGCAGAGAATATCCACACAACACAAAACAAGTAAATTGGAAGACTTTATAAAAAAATGTGAATTTATAAGACCATGTGTGCTTCAATTCATATAAAACATCAAATGGGCAAGTCAAATCACCAAAAAACCACTTACATCAACCAGTGCTTGTCGAGCTTCCTGCAGCTCATCATTGCTCTCACGCTCTTTAATTATTAGTGTTTGGTTCAGTGCATCTATGTCTTGCAATGCTTGTTCCTTGTCTCGTAAACCCTTTTGTAACATATCTACCTTCTTCAGAATTTCGACATCTTCATCATCTTCCATGTGCTTCAACACACTTAATGATCCTTTTAATTGCTGAATCTCCAGCTCCAGCTCTTGTTTCATATCAAGTTGTTTCTGAAGCTGAATGATTTTAGCATGGAGTTGCTCTTTTTGCCTCTGTATAAAACATAAATAGCATTAATACCAAGTCATTCTGATGCTGAGCAAGGACATATTTGGTTATTAACAAAGCTTAAAGATAGGTATACCACACACCTTTTGATCTTCAGCCAGTTTCATAACATTCTCATCTGCTTTCTTTTGCTCAAGAGCAGCCATCTGAAGAGAACTATTTTTTGTTACATTCTGCAAAACCAGTAAATGTCAGCAATGTTAAACAAAGTCTTCCACAAGCTTCTTAAGCACATCTTGATTTTAAATGATTTGAAAGACGCAGCATAAACAGTTTCAATAAAAAATTTGATTAACATAGTCCTTCAGAAAACTCCTTAATGGTAGTAAACAGAAAACCCATGGCATGAAAATCTTGGATTACAACTTGAGATTAATCACTCTCGTCCCCACTCACTTCCCGGCATTTGGAAAATGATAGCTTAATACAGCTCATAAATTAAATGAATACTCCACAATTACTTTTAGATATAAGTGCCATCCAATCTATAATATCTGCTAGACAAAACATGGGACAGGATCACTTCCTAGATCAAAACCAGACACACAAATTACATACTGCCACCAACTCGTTAAACAGTTTACTTTAAAAGTAAATGCACCAAATCCAAACATTAACTTGCTTTCAATTCACAGCCTTCAATAGCATACACCCCAAATCAAAAACAGTTTCATCATATTCCTAGTATTATCAGAAATTTTGATCTAAAAATTCAATGGAACTTAACTTTAACTAATCTTCACTTAGCGGTCATCAAACCCAAAAAGTAAAAATTGGGAAACGGTCCTTCAAAGCACTGAAATACATAAATTTCAACCATAATAATAAATCAACCTAAAACAATAATATTATTTCCTCAATCTTAATTTCACAGGAATCATAGTACACTCCAGGAGAAGTAGCAACTTAAGAAAAAAACTATACCTCCTCAATTTCTTCTGCCAACTTTTTTCTTTCACTTTCATTATGTGCCTCACGTTTTTCCAATTCAATTTTCCGTAACTCAAGCTCATTTTTCTGAGATTCCAGTTGCATTTTAAGCTTTTCATGATCAGTAAAAATTCTTTGGAAGTGATCCCTGGCACTTGACTGTATTTTCTGTATCTCTGAAACCAAGGAATCATGGCAAAAGAAGTTGGTGTTAAAACAGACCAGCGGCATTTTAAAATAATAGTAAATTGTTCAAAATATAAATTGAGTTCCGGCAAAATATTCTTAAGAAATTTATTTAGCAATGCAAATCCTGTGGTGCCAACTAATACAGTGACTCAAGTATGTAGTTATTTGGTCCTATGGCTCAAAAAAATAGATACCTTCATTATAAGCTTGAATGAGTTTATCTTTTTCCATCATTGCAAGGTTCATTTTGTCCGTAGTCTCATGGCATCTCACTTCAATCTCTTTTATGTGCTTGTTCTTGACCTGGATAATGTTATTCAAATTGGAGACAAGTTTATCTTGCCTTCGAGCTTCTTCTTCCATAAGCTCAGATATGGTTTTGACATCACCCATCTTCCGCAAATGTTCTCCATATATGTTGTTCATTTTGTAGTCATCTGCTCGGGCAACCCATGCATAAAGACCAAATTTCTGCCCAGAATTAGCAAACCAATCCTTTTTCCCATGATGATCTAATTCATATGCTCTTTCAAATGCCATTGCATTATCTAAGCCTGGCCAGCTTTTGTTGAATTCCACAAGAGCAGTTCCAGAGTGACCCCGGAAATTCCACAAAGGATTGACTCGAACTGGATTGAAACCCCTACTTCTGTACTCATCCCTCAGCCTGGAACCACTCTCACCAACACTGCGTCCGTCTTCTGTCCTTCTAGTTGGAATATTAACTACAATTCCAATCCAAGGCCACACAAACTGATCATTAGAATTAACAGAAGAATCACTTTCATCTACCTGTTTTGAATCATTTGATGGAACATCTACATTCATAAGATCTTTTTCCAAATATTTCATTAAAGCCAAATGATTAGCCTTTTCTCTTGCTTTCCTCTTCTGTGAAATACTCTGACCCACCCCAGACGCATGTTGAAGGAGCTCCTTGTACAAATAATCCCGTTTTCTCTTTTTAGGGCAGTACGGACAAGTGAAAGCCTCATCTGATGTTTTTAAATTTCGACTTCCACTTTTTAGTTCTTCATAGAATTTATCTTCATACTCACTAATTTCAGATTCACTAATATCAGTATCTTCATCAGAGCTGTTGTCAGCCATTACAGTTCCTCCAAGGTAAGGCGTATGTATAATTATTTTTATTCCACCGCCTGAAAGACAAATGTAGTGTTAGTGTTAGAACTGACTGCCGTTCTATTTAAGTGCCCACAAATTCTACTAAAATATCGCATTCAGAGTCAGGGTTAATGCACTAAACTCAAAATAGAATTTTTATTACAATCACTTCATCTAACAAATCCTTCATTACTGGAAAAATAATAAATTAGAAAGCTTCCTTCAAATGTGAAACTAGAACTGCACACTATTATACAGATCAAGCATGAACACGTACACAGCCCGCTGGAACCACCATGAATAAATAAATAGATACAATGTAATAAAAAAAAAATGCTTGACAAACAAAACCATTCAGATTAACAAGCTGCAATAGCTTTTCCACACTAAAAAATGGGCTTTACGAAATATATATTCAGCAGTATAAGTCGAAGCCCACAGATAGTTCCAATTTCTCAGCCATGCATGCAGGAATCAGCAAAACACACATTATTCACTGTAAAAATTCAAAACAGCTGATAAATCAACACCTCTAGCACAATGTCCCACTAGTCCTCATCGACCTACTAGTTCAATTGACCAACTCCAATGTAGTTCAAAACAGCTCTTAATCAAAATTACATAGTTTCGGAAGGAAAAAACCATTATTTAAGCAAAATCAATTATACACCGATAACAATGAAACAAAACCTTGTGAAAAAAATGCTTTCAGCACCACAGAAATCGCTAAGCCCTGATTCTGTCTGTCGCCTCTTTCCACTTCACCACAAAGTCTCCCACTGAGCAACCGCAATGCAGTTCAGCTTTCAATCAAAACTTTATATAGAACTCTGGGAGAAAAAAATAAAAACATTTCCCAATACAAATTCAACAAAATCAAAACAATGCATGAAACATAGACAACAGTAGAAAGAACAAACGAGGAGCACATGCATAAGAAGAAGTGAATTATAAACGAATTGAGTAAAACTACGGAGAGAATTTGACCTGAGAAAAATTATGTTCCTTGAAAATGGATCTGAGACCTATATGCCACCATAAAAGAGAAGAAGGAATGAATCAGAAGACAAAAATCCTAGATTGAATGTTCTGATTTTGGGGGGTTCTGTACTGTATTGAGTGAGTCTTTGACCTTTAACTCAGCACTTCCCTACCCACTGCTAACTAGGGCTTAGTGCCCTGCTGCTGCTAGTTCCAAAGGTTTTATTATCTCACGCGCACCTTTAATTGTGAAACTCTGAACTTTAATTTGTGACGTACAAGGATGACGTGGATCATTTCCATTCGAGCTTGGAATGCATGGTCACAGACGCGAGTGTGTTAGTGCGCAAGAGGCAAACAGGGTGCAGTCTGTACTAAATGATAATTGTCATTTTCTTTCAGTATCATTTTTTAAATCAATATCAGTACTTTATTTACTATAGTTTTAAATTATATATATATATATATATATAAGCAACTAACTAAATAAATAAATAAAAAATACATGTAACATTATATACTGATAAATTTTTTAAAATCAATATGGAATATATATATATATATATATATATATATATATATAAACTTAAAAGCTATAAAATTCTATGAATACTTTTATATATATATATATATATATTTATTTGATAATTTTTGGTTTAATTTTCTTTTATTTCTTACAAGTTTATTTATTAGTTTTAAATATATAGGTATAATATTGTATAAAAATATCATTCATTAAAACTTTAAAAAAATAATATAAACTTAAAAGCTATAAAATTCTATGAATACTTTTATATATATATATATTTATTTGATAATTTTATTTTATTTCTTACAAGTTTATTTATTAGTTTTAAATATATAGGTATAATATTTTATAAAAATATTATGCGGTGAACGAACACGTGACCTTTAGATCTTCAGTTTAACGCTCTCCCAACTGAGCTATCCCCGCAATCTGTAATATTTATGTACTTATTAAGTATATATAGTAATGTTAATAATAAAATGGAATATAAATTTAAAAAATTTATTCGCCGTCTTCTGAGACGGCCCCGAAAACTATGATAATTAATAGTACTTATCATATAGAGTAAAATATAATACAAATAAAAAGAATAATAATAAAATATAATGTAAAATTTTATTCGCCGTCTGTGGGGATCGAACCCACGACCACGTGGTTAAAAGCCACGCGCTCTACCACTGAGCTAAGACGGCTTAATTGATTATAAAATTGTTTTTTAATCTTTTAAAATAATTTAAATATTTATTTCTTTATTTAAACTAAAAACAATTGAATCACAAATAAATCAATTGAGTTATTTTTATTTTATCATGTGATTTTAAAATTTATCATTTATATTAAATAATTTATGAACAAACTTTTAAAAAATCTTAATTGTCCAGTTTTCTCATATTCATTTTATGAATGTGAAATCACTGTCAACATGTTTAGAACGAAACTCGATTCGCTAACGAAAAGTATTAAATTTATATAATTTTTAAAAATTTTAACATAACTTTCAATTAGTATATATTCAAATGTCAATAATAGATTATTGTAATTACTATTTTTTTAGTTAAAACTCTTGCTGATTTTCCTTATACTAAGTGATCTTGAGCTATTTATCGAGTAATAGGATATTTTGCCTATTATTATTTAAAAAATCGATTTGATAAACTGGAGTTCAGGTGTAGGATGACTTATTATATTTGTGAAGAAACCTTCTCAAACCAAAATGTTTACTGTGTTATTTAAGGTGGGCTTCAATATAGTTTAATTAAAAATTATTTGTTTAATATCTTGTTTTAAATTATAATCAATTTTGGCAATATAAATATAGTATAATTAACAATATATTTTTTAAAACAACTGATTGAAATCTAAAGTCTAAATCTTTGTGCATAAAAAACGTTTTTAAGAAATATTGATAAAAAAACTTAACATATTTATGTTTCATCACTAGTGCATCCCAAATGGGTTATATGTTTAAGAAAGTACAAGGTGAATCATTAATAAGATTAATTACAGTAAAGGTAACAAATTATGAGATTAATAATACATAGGAATTTGTTTGCACAAATTATAAGATAACAAATTAGTAAATTTTTAACTATGTAAATGATGAAACATGACTGCACGATGACGAGATCTGAACTCTACATTTGGTTCCCAATTTATTCATTCTGTTCAACTGCTATTGCAAATACAAGTTACTGTTTAGCTTCTCCAACCAACTCTTATTCCACCTGTGCATTAACACGTCCACAATTAGCAACATTATTCAGGCAGCATCACCGTTACTGTACTATAAAATATGTCATAAAATATCCATTATCATGTGTTTAAGGTTAATTATTATGCTCAGAAAGTTGTGATTGTAAACTTTGTATACAATGTAAGTGATGTTTCTCATTGAAAGTTACCTTAAAAGATACACCAACGTCAATTTCTCCACAATAAGATTGGTCTGCACGAATTACTCTAAACTTGGTAGGTTTTAGCTCAGCTGCACCTTTCTCTACCCCTATGGCTAATACATCTTCCACGTAAACTCTACACACAAAATTAATAAAAATAACCTCCTCAAACACGAAGAATGTAACAAAAAGGAGTGGGAGTTGCGTATGTTTGATATATATAATATGAATGAAGGTATTGAAAGTCTTACATGGCTTGACCAACGAAGTCATCTGCAGATAAAAAGTCCTTGTCCATGATTCTCAAGAAGATCTTGTAAGATTTAGATTGGGTAGGATATTGAACCTTGAACACAAATTTCTCATTCCATGCAGGATTTCTGCCTTGTCCTGCATTGCCATACACAATGAATATAAGATTTGAAATCGAATACAATGTGCTGCTACTAACTAGTTCATTGATTATAATAACTCTGCTCAAAATACATGTTTTTTTCTTCGTCAATAGCTATCAATCAACTCTAGCTTTTTAACACGCTTTAAATGAATTTTAAGCCAAATGCTATCTTGTAATTCAAGGTAAAAAGAATATGTGATAGAATTTAGATCTAACCCTTAGCAACACTACTCCTTTGCTCTTCACCGTTGTATTGTATCACAGCATAGGGGTCCATGCGACCTATTAATAAAAGAAAAAGAAAATCACATTGAACATGGTTATGAAAAAAGAACTTGAGCATATAAAACGAATAAAGAAGTGGGCTAATTAAGATGATAATATTTGTTTAAAAGCTAATTATTAATAAATTACATGTTAATAACAAAGAAATAAATCATTCATGCATTTGAAGGGAAAGCTTAAGATACCAAAGATATCAGTGTCACACAACCCCTTTGCTTTCAGAAGCTGCACCTCCATGAACCCAATTGCCATCTCTTCTCACCCAAGTTTTACAATTAATGTTTATCTAATAATGGCTTCCTTCCACGTTGTAACGGTCGCTTTATATAGAGGATTAAGGCTAATTGGAATTACAATTAATCAAAATCCAAAACTCGGGTCAACCTCAACCACCCACCTTAATCATAACTATAGTCTTTCCATTTCCTAAACATAAATAATTATACATAATTCATCCCGTCGTCACGTGGTAAATTTAAATGTTTAAATTAATTATACAAGCTCTTCTTAGGACTTAAAATTATAATTTAAGATCATTATAACGTACTAGTGGTTCAGTTTTATATATAGTCAATGGTTATAATGATAAATATTTTTTCTTCGGTAGGTTGTAATTGATCATCATCGACTAGGAATCTTACTAGTCAACCGTCATATGAAGGTCATTGAAAAGGGGCATGCATCTGAATAGAGTAGTTACATTCTGACCCAGTTTGGTCGAATTCACGTGAATTAAATTAAAATGGTGTTATTTTGATTAATCGTGTTTATCGTTTTCCTCACGTAGGTTGGTGTTTTCTAGATTGAACTTAGAAATTCGAGATCGCAGAGTCAAATGTTGAGGGCATTGCCGCTCATGTCGTGCGTGGATCATTCATGAATATGAATGAAAATTAAACCATTCGATCACGCAGTCAAAATACAAAATTTACCAAATTGTTTATTTCTATAATCATTCGTTAAATTATAAATTTTAATATAGTTTTTATTTGTTTATTAATAGTTACGTATTGCATAATTCCTTTTTTTAATCGATTAGAATGACCATACTAATACATAATGGTGTTTAAAAGTACCGATATTTTCATATTCACATTATAAAAATATAACGTCTCTGTTTAAATGTGTTATTTTTATTTTATCTTAAATATAGTTAAAAGTTTTAGAAATTTAACGTGAATTATAGATAAAATAATACTATAATATATATATATATATATATATATATATATATATATAAATGAGTATAATTTTTATCTTACTAAATTGATGTATTATTGAGATAAATATTTTACAAATTTTTAAGAAAATTTCAGAATTAATTTTGATGATATTAAGATAATAATTATCAATAGTGATAGACTTAATTACTTATTATCAAATTAAATATTAGACTACTCATATTTAAACGAGGAAGTTTGTTAAAATTTGTTTTTTTTATAACAGAGGTATAATAAAAAATTATATGAAAAGCTGTATTAAAAAAATTCACATGTATCTTATTATTTCTAGAATATATATATATATATATATATATATATATATATAATATTATTAATAATAAAAATATTCAATTTAAAAAAACATAAAGATTCAAAATTAAATGTAATTAAAATAATTTATATTTTAATTAAAAAGAGATCAAAATTATTTTAAAATTTACAATTATAATTACGCAAAATTATTTTATTCCCATTAAATGGAATTTAAATTTATATTAGTATTTTATATAAATGTATTTATTTATGCCATTTAATGTTTTGATTGATAGTTTTATTAAATACTCATAATTCAAATAAATTTAACAGTTTTCAACTTTTTTCACCTGTCACTGAACTTTTTTAACATTGAACAAAAATTTTGGTTATTTTTATCAAACACAAACATAATCAAACTTTACATATATAATTATATTAACTATTTACATTTTAAATTGAAATATAAATATCATTATAATAATTAGTGACAGTTGAATAATGAGTTCATAATCACATTTCATGAACTTTTACTTCATGGATAATTAAAAAGTATTTGACGTATTTATATTAATAACTTAATAAAAACCAAAATATTTAAAATAAATAAATAAATCGATATAAATATATATATATATATATATATATATATATAATTTAAAAAAAAATACTTTAATTTAAAATTATGCCACCCTATTTTCTATTTGTCACAATCAAATCTTCTAGTTTTGATTTACATTCAATTAAAAACTTTTAAGTATTATTTCTATTCAAGTTATCAGGATTTTTAAGATTGTTTTCGTTAGAAGATAATTTGAGTCAAATATGAAATTTTGATTAAATGAATTCTCTAAGAAACAAGGTTAGGGTTCAAAAACATAACAGAATTTTCAAACAAATGAAAAAAAATGGCGCGAGAGTAATGTAGATAAGCTTATATGTAATCATTATATATACTTCAAATAAATAAAATAGATATAGGGATTTTCTCTCTATGAAAATTATGGGTGTGAAAAATTGATGTGCGATTAAAAGGATTATGACCATTATTAGTCTAATAATTGGTGAGACAAAGGAAATGGAAAATCTTCTTTATTTAAAGTGTTTGATAAGAAAACTCAAAAAAAAAAAAAAAAAAAAAACAACAACAACAACAAGGAAAAGGAGAGAAGAGTGTATGTGCTCTAGCATAACTGTTTCATGTTTGAGGTGTAATATTTTACGTTTTGGACGTGGTTTGGAAAGTTAGTAGTTATATATAACATACCTTTTTTACGTTTAAATTCTTGCATTCAAGTTTGGAATGTGAAAAAAGGGAAAATAAAGAATCTTTGATTTATATATGAATTATACATCCACACTTAATTTGATATGACACAAAATCAAATATATGCATAATCTTCACCTTCCAGTTCCGAACGTAATATTTTTATTCTGATCGAGTTTCCAAACATGTTACTAGTATTAATTTTCTTGATGCAATTCTGATTCAAAGTTTGCCATATGTTCAAGAATGAAAGTTGAGCTTTAGAAGAAAAATATGAGAATGGAAGATAAATAAATTCTTTTACTAATATAAAGGAACCAAAATCTGTACAACAGACAACCATGTATACAGAGTGCCTTCTCTATTTTGCTTCAAAATAATGCAAAATACGTGTAATCATGAAGTTCCTCTCCTATGTACGAAGAGGAGAAGGAGACAAACTTGGATTAGGAGTACCACTGCTGCTTGAGCAATGGCCATTTACTTGTGTGTCAATGGAGTCCTGAAGATGTTCCAATGATCTCACCACATAATCTATGTTTGGTCTAACTTTTTGTTCTGTCGATAAGCATTGAATTGCAATGTGAGCTATTCTCTTTGCTTCTTGCTTTGAATATTGGCCTTCTATGCGTGCATCCATGACTTGGGAGATCTTGTGTTTGTTTATGAGGAGTGGTTTGGCCCATTCAACTAAATTATGTTCCCCATTTGGCCTGTTGTTATCCAGTGCACGTTTTCCTGACATAAGTTCCAGAAGAACAACTCCAAAACTGTATATGTCACTCTTTTTGGTTAGGTGACCTTCACAAGATAGACAATTGGAAAAAGGTCAGGAGCAACATTATGGGTCATCTTTTTGGTTTTTGTTGTGAGACAGTGTAGTGATTGCTGTGTTGGAGACCTTATTTTAGAAAGGAGTAACAGCACAACCAATTCAACCACCATGGAAGGTTGTTGTCATAAAACACTAAAAGTTTTGGTTGCTAAGTGAAGACATGTGAATGATTTGTATTACATTACATCTTATATGATAGCCCCACACGCAAGTTCTCTTTAGGCTTGAAGTTTCGATAATGTATAGGTCCACTTCTGTTCAAATTTAGCTTATTGTTTGAAGATATGCTATGATATTATGAGTATGTTTTGGATAAACTTCTCTTTAAGTATTCTCTATAACTAAATGATAAGTTGAACATGTGGAGACCTTTCACCCACTAGTCTCTCAACATATTGGAACTGCCACTGCAATCAAGATTTTGGTTACACGCTATTCAGGTTTCTGCATAAAACCTCTGGCTTAAATGTTTCTCCACTAAATGCAAGGTGTGATTATAGAATGAAATGTAATACTATGGCTTGAAGTAGATTTGAGATACCTGTGGCAATATACTCAGGAGCTGCGTAGCCGAAGGTGCCCATTACCCTTGTAGAAACATGGCTCTTATCACCTTCTGGTCCATTTTTTGCCAACCCAAAATCAGAGAGTTTTGCGTTATAATTCTGTCATTGACAAAAAGGAATTTTAGAAAGCCAGGGCTAACTAATAATACTATCTCTTGAGCTTGTATGAATAATGTGATTTCACTTACAGAATCAAGTAAGATATTAGAAGTTTTGAAGTCCCTATATATTACATCTACTTCATCACTGTGAAGAAATGCAAGACCTTTAGCGGCATCAAGAGCAATCTTCATACGGATGTTCCAAGAGAGTGGTTGAATGTAAGAAGCCCCTGATCCAGAAACATAGGTAGATATGAGATTTTGAGGAGCTTAAAGTGCTAACAAGTAAACAAAGTCAACTCAAAGAAACGTACTCCTAAACAGGTGATTATCCAAGCTACCCTTGGCCACAAATTCATACACCAGAATCCGGTGATCATCCTCTAAGGAGTAACCAATTAGCTTCACAAGATTAGGATGACTCAGCTGTCCCAGGTAGTTAATTTCTGTCTACATAGTACAGGTTAATCAGTCACAACACTCACAACAAATATTTAAACTACAAGCATCTATTATGAGATAACAAATGCTAAGAACACATATTTAACACTCTTTATTCTTCATTGAAATTTATTAAAAACTATGAAAATCTGTAGGTCTTACTTCTGATTTATTGATATCCACTAATAATTTTGTAGTTTCTAATAAATTTTGACCAATAGTAGACTGTTTTAGAAGGAGTGCGTTACTAAAACTTCATTTGCAACATACATTACAAAAGAAGGGTATGTCTTGAATATAACTTGACATTTATGCCACTAAACTTCCAAGCATTAAGCAATGTTTTAAAGTGTAGAAGTACATGCCAAGTGAAAAGTGACACTCACCAACCATTCAGTGTGTCCCTGGTTGCTTTCTTGGTTAAGCCTCTTCACAGCAATGACCATTCCTGTCCCTGCTTTAGTAGGGGCAAGTGTCTGCTCATCAATCCACCCTTTAAACACGCAACCAAAGCCACCTTCACCCACCAAACTATCTGGACGAAAGTTCCTGGTAGCAGTTCTTAGCTCATTGAATGCGAAGTTCTTCAAATTGCTGGCCTCCAATATCTCAACCTCACTCTGAGGAGTTACAAGCATAGATGAAGACACCTTGCCGCTTAAACCACTCAAATCATTATCTTCTTTGCAACCATCCCATGAATTCAAACCTGCTCATCTCAAAATAGAACATGGATTCACTTCAGGTCATTTATAAGCACTCTACAGACATCTACTTTCTGCTTCATTCAAAAGACCAGAGCATGCAATGAGACGGAGAAACATTTTTTCTACTAACGCTATTACTATAATTCAATCCATACTTCTCTAGTAGACAATCTTTTTTTCTTATAAGTAAGTTATGAAAAGTTGTGTGACATTATGGCAATTTTGTTGTAACACATGCAGAAAGCTAAAAATCTTACATTCCAAGAAATTTTTCTTGAAAAAAAATAAAAGGTATCTCTATTATCAAATTTTCTCTCACTTTCACTTCTAAAAGGAATCGTTGGAGAGATCACGATCGCTGTCTTCTCTTGTCGACTGCATAGATAACATCCATTAAGTTTATTTTATTGCATGTTAACTAACTTGTAATTTTGAACGAAATTTAACAATTTTCGAATTCTGAGTTCCTTTAAATGTGCTGAGGATCCAAGTTCACTGCAGATAAAAAGAAAAACTCAACTAAAATAACATTTGTTACCAGAGTTTTCTGTTCTTATTTCATTTGTTAAAAAACCACATATCTTTTAGGGAAAGCAATTCTATTTGAGTCAGTTAGGACCATCAAAAATCCAATTGATGCAGAGTCTTTATATTTTGCTTTGGATGTAAACACCTCATCGTGTATTATTCATCTGAAGCAATCTTCTCGGTTGTTTATGAGTCAAATATTGAACACAAACAAGCAGCAAACTTGTATTCACAAAACAACACAAAGTTGAAAATTTCAAAACTCCACTCCAAATGGTCTCCAGCATAATCAAACACAGTTCAGAATCAAGATGTTAAAGTTAAAAAAGGAAGGTGGGAAGATTAGAAAAAGAATGATACCATTACGTGGAGGGCTCTCGGCTTTGATCTTTGGAGGAGCACTAAAGCAGCAACCCATGATCACAGCAAGAGAGAGGAGAACTGAAGAAAAAAGAAACCCTCTTGTCTCTTTCTCTTCAGTGTAGCCAGCAGCCGCAACAAGTTGAAGTTTTCAATTTGGAAGACAGAAAGAAGGGCATGGAAGAGAAGAAAAGCAAGTATGTATGCTAGGAATTGCAAGTGTGAAAGCAAGAAAATTTGGACGTGAAAGATAGATAACTGTCAGGCAAGGACTTGTTTGTTATCTGCGAAATTCAAAAGCCAATGTTAACTTGAGTTGTGTTGGAAAGTTTGTGATGTGTTGGCGTGAATGATGTTATGTTATGTTATGTGTATGTGATGTGGTTGTTTTTCTTGGAAATTTCATTCTTCTTTATTAGACCATCGAGAAGGATTAATCAGAACAGGGTTGTAGAGGCAGCCACCGTAGGTTGTCGTTGGGAGCAAGTTGCAGGAAAACACGGAAGACCCAAATGCTCCGTAGACTTGCTCATGATGCAAAATTGGGTTAATATTTGTCAATATTTTTTTTTTCTCAGCAAGGATGAAAAACTAAAAGAAAGGAAATTAATTTCATGAATATTCTAAATAAAAAAATAGAATAAAAGAGTTTTTTTTTTAATCTAAAAAAGCTTGCATTTATTGTTTTTAATTAGAAGGAGCGCATAAAAAAAATTGTGGTACACCCCTTTTTATTTAAATAAAAAAATGTAAAAATATAATTTTGTCAAGATGATTAAAGACTTATTAACGTTTTTATAAATGCTTATCAAACATGATGAATCAAATCTTAATATAATCTAATATAAATTATTTTAAAATAAATACACGCTTAGACCATTGGATTCGTATTAATTGTCAAATTTCAATTCAATAAACACGAACGCACGGTTTTTTTTAAAACAATAATATTATTATATAAAAGTATGCTAGGATAAGTTACGACAAAATCACTTAAGGCGTATCTTATTAAGAAGATCCAAACTTTTATAATTTTCATTTAATTTAAGATTTTAATCCTTTCAAACTTAAAGAATTTTTAATATATTTATTTATATATTTACAATTTTATCTCAGTTTCTTTTTAATTTTGTAATTTTTATATAATTTATTATTTTGTCTCTCTTAAATTTAATAATCATTTAATATATTTAAATATGTATTTACAATTTTATTTTTTCTTTTTTTCATTTTCTTTCATCTTTTTATATTTATTTTTTATTTATTAATAATATATTATTTGTCACTTTCACACTCTACTCTTTCTTTTTTTTTTTTTCTTTTTTTTATTTACACTAAAGTATGAGGGGAAAGAATGTTTTTGAACACATTATGTTTTTAATTAAAGTAATCCAATAATTGCACGTAGCCAAACTTATTTTTGTAAAGGGCTGAAGTCAAACCAAGGACATGTTAGATACTTTCTGACGCTTTTGTGATGGATGATCTATTATATTGTTTAAAGTGTAATTTTGTAGTTAGTTTAATATTTTATGCTTTGAAAATAGTTTTTATTTTTTATATTTATTTGTTTTAAATATATTTTTACATATGAGTATTAAAATATATTTTAATCTTTATATAGATTAAATGGTATTTTCTATAAAATAAACAAATTGAAATATATTTTAATAATCATATGTAAAAAATTATTTGAAAAATAATGTGAAAAATAAAAATATTTTAAAATTTAATGACTTTTTAAATGATGTCTACTTTCTATCAGTGTACAATTTTTTTTTTATTTTTCAAAGAAGTTTTAAACATAAAATAAATATGTTATATTTAGATAAATTTAATTTATGCAAACTAAATAAGAGTCTAAAATAAAGTTTTTGATTTTTTTATCTAATAAATATTTAAAAAATAGGATCATGCATTAAATAATTAAACATATGAAATCCTCAACATCATTTATAACATAAAAAGGATATAATAAGAGAATTTAAATTTTGTTTGATAACGAGTAAAATAAATAATAATAATAATAATAATACACTATGTGACAAAAGATGAAAAATACTCCTCTTTGCATTATATTGGCAGTGGTTAGCGGCATCTTAGCATCATTAGAGCATGAGATGACGGATATTAGGGAAAAAAGAAAGAAAGCATTCATAAATTATAATAATAGGTCAATTGTTTTGGTGCAACCATTAATGAACCATAACAAAAAAGAAAAAAAGAAGAAGAAGAAGAAGAAGAAGACCATTGATCACAAAATCAACTGGGTCAACTATTATAGGATGAAAAATTCTATCTTTGCTTATTCATATTTTTATATTTATTTATTATAATGAATTAGTCTACTTGTTCTTTCATGTATACTAGCTCAAACTTGATTTCTTGTGACCAGAACAACTATTGAAGGTAAGGATCATTGACGGAAATAATTGTTTAAATGAGGGAACAAAGGATTCTCTTTCTCTCTGTTTTATAATTTGTAAACTTTGATTTCCTTTAACACATTTGTTTACTATCAATTATCACATCTAAATTATAAATACTGGTTAATTTAATTGGATTTAAAAAAATATATCATATTAAAGCCAATACACATTGATATAATAAACAAATCAATATAATACTTACATACATTTTTGCCGACAAAAGTACGAGTCGTATAATCATTTTATAAACAAAAATATACATATATAAGTTCAGCTTAAATTCAATTAGACAAGTTTTTAAATTAAATATAAAATTTGATAAAAAAATAATTTTAAGATTGTAATTTACTCAATTAGATTTTAATAATCTACATCAGATTTAATTGATTTATGAGTTACAACCCTCCTTATTATTCCTTTACTTTATATATAATTATTTATCAAAGAAGCTTTATATAGAGTTTTTTTTATAAAGAAATCTGATAAACTAGAATTAGTTATGTATAAAATAGAAATAAGATTATAAAGAAACTAAAAATAACAAAATAATAATAAGAACTTCAGATAAGTTTCTAAATAATTTGAATTTTTAATTTTATATTATTTTTTAAAATACTTATAAAGAAAAAGAAAACTTCAGATAAGTTTCTAAAACTTAGTAACACATCCAGCGTGTGCTCTGCGCAAAATCGTTGAGTCCAGTCAAAAATAGCAGTTCTGAAAGACCATTGGAATCACAAATTATCGACCATCTCTATCCCTTCGTATCATGGCAGAACTCGTGAGATTCTGGGTCCCCATTTGAATTACTTTATCAATTTAGCACTACAATTCATAAAGGGTGTTGTGCTTCATCCAAATAAAACACAGTAATAGTATAAAGAAACATTATTTTCTGACACACCAAATATGTCGACGAGTGATTACGCGTTATTAAAGATTGAGGTTCCGCATCTTGTAAACTATTTGTTTAATATCTCACTAAATTCCTTTACATTTAATCTGATATTGACATATATGTTTGTATTTATCTTTCTCAGACGTTTGTTCTTAACGTACACATAAACTGTCAAGGATGCATGAACAAAGTAAGAGAAGTGCTTCAAAAAATTCAAGGTAAAGTCAATATTTTCCCATCTTTACTTCCAAATTCTATATTCATGCTGTATATATTTTGAAACTATTCACAATAATAGCTGCAAGATGTAGGAAGAAAAATATAGTTGCAATAAAATATGCTCCCGAAAATAGAATCTACAATTGATAAGTATACATGAAACTAAGAAGAGGGCAAGTAAAAAAACCAAAAATAAATTGTCTATTTTATATTTCATCCTTTAGAGTCACATTGGCATAGTAAATTAACATTTAATAACTTTTCAATTTCTAAATAATTTGATCAATAAATAGAAAACAAATTAAAACTTTCCTTTTTAATTTCTTGTCACTATCATCATTCTTCCCAAAAAAATTAATAATACAGATAAATACATGTTTAAATGATATCACCATTTTATCTGTATAATTCAGCTTTAAGTTTTACTTGTGGACTGCGAATATTATCCTGACTTTGAATTAATCTGATCTCTAAACTGGTTGACTCGGAATCATGTCCCGCGCTTTTGTAGTCACTGAGCGTCCTGTGCAAAACTGCCTGCACATATTGGTGAACCTTGATCTGTTCATTATCTGTTATTAAAATTTGTGGGCTAACTGGGCAACATGAATGCCCTAATTTAAAAATCTCAATCTCATGTTGCTAGTAAGAAATTACCTGAATGATAGTTTACTAATCCAAAACTACAAGCACAATATCATAAGAGGATAAACAAAAAAAGACTAATGGCACACATCAAGAAAATAAATACCTGCAAGCTTGAAACTGCAAGTTCTGCTGCAACCTCAAGATTGTCTCTGTATTTCTGAAATTAACAATGACAACAACAAAAAATATCTTAAAAGAAATTACTAGTAAGACCAGAATTTTAAATAACACACCATAGGGTGTCCTGCCCGCTACAGGAGCTGCTGTTGCGGAACAGTTTAATGTAGCAGACCCAAAGACGGGTTGAATGGCGGGCATGATGGCTGAGCTCTTTGTTGATTGCAAAATATATCTTAGAACAGATAAATTAGGGGCTTTTCTGGAGGCTACTTTTGGGATTTTAATTTCTAAAACTGAAATCTCTCTCTCTCTCTCTCTCTCTATATATATATATATATATATATATACTAACATTAAAATTGACAAAAAAGACCTGAATTTAGAAAATGAGAACTGATAATTCCAATTAGAAACTTGTATTTGACTTTTGTTGATGTTCACTTATATTTTTTGTTTAAAACACCTATTAACTTTTTATTGTTAATTATGAATGTCATTTTTTGAGTAATTTTTGTAAAATTATACTATGTAGTACAACACTATATAAACTATAAAAAAATTCAAAATAGCAGTTATCCCTTTATACGCTGTTATTTGCTATCTCCCTATAGCGTTTTTGGAGCCAGTCACGACGCACTGCTATCCACGATCTAAAACATTAAGACCAAACAATAGTAATAACTCTCAAGAAAAGGTAAATACATTGCTCCAACCAAGAAGAAGTGCAGTCATGAGATCTCCTGTTCCCTACAAGGATAAGAACAAAGAGAATTGGAGTAAAGTAAAAAACTTTAGTGAATAAATATATGCGTTGGTTGTTAGAAAATGTCTTGAATGAATATCTTTCCTATTTATCTTTTGGGATTTGCATAAATTTCTTATTGTCTAAGGAGCACCACGTTAAATAGATTAAAAGCAATTAAAGTTAGATGTTCTGTTCGTTGCGCTTCCATTTTTGCATGCAGAACCATGTGGGCAGTAGGTGGGCAATCATGATAAAACAGAACACACGCAGCTCAGACATATTTAGGGAAAATAAATTGAATTCTTCGATAATCCATAGATTCAGATGCAAATTCATTGTTTAGTTCAGCAGAAATTATCCATGACTCTGGATGAAATTTTTCCACTCATAATTTTTTTTTGTACGGATGAATTTGGTAAAACCAAATATAAACAGAAGTATGGACAGAAGATTCATACCGTAAAATAAGCTGGTATTTTTGGAATCACGATCTTAAATTGTCTGGGAGGCTCTCCCTGTCAGAAAATGATACAAGTTAGGTTGTTACCATGAGAAGTGTGTAGAATAAAATCATCACAGAATATAGTTAATGTATTGTGGATTATTAGTTAATGTAATTTAATAATATTTTATATTCGACCCAATAACTTGTATGATTATGCTTTGACACATATTGCATTCCAACTTGCACAGTTTAGTACTCTCAGAGTACATATCTACATAAGTACTTCTAACAGTTCCAATATACATGTACATTTGAGTTCTACTTCAGCATATAGCTGGCAATGTCATAACGATGTGGTTTGCCCACCAATTGTCACCACTCACCAACATTATGTGAACTACCTCAACTGACTCACTCGTTTGGCTATATACTGGCAATATTCAGCTTCATTTGGTTATAACATGAGGTACTAGCTGAACCATGCAGCTAAACAAAGCGTCATTGTTTGGTTGAACCACTCAGGTCAGTGTTGTTTAAGATTAAGGAATTGTGGAAAACAAATTTTACAAATCACTGCAAATGCTCAAGCTATAAGCAAACATATATTATGCAAGAAGAATATGAAAATTTAGTAATTCAATCTCAATTACGCCTCATATATATCTGAAATAAGAAATAAAAATATGACCACCAACAAAAGCATTATAAGCAGCATTTAATTCACCTTTCTTTTTTATGACTGCCAATGAGAAATAAGAAAAAAAAAATATTACCACAAACAGAAGCGTTACAAGCACAATTTAATTCACCTTTTCTTTTTGATGACTGCCAATGAGAAGAAGATTCCCGTCAATATTTATACTTGTAATTATGACCTGAAGAGCGTATGCATCAGCTAAATGATTGAGAATAAAAGAGCCCAAATAGCACTTCGGAAATCATCAAAGACTTATTAAGTTGTCGTCACATCAGATGTAGACAATTTGTTGGCATTAAAAAATGAACACGAAGAAAGGATCATTAAAAATGTACAGATTCAAGCATGGAATTTACATGTGTAATTTACTGATTTAGATTCAAGCCGCTGCGTGAGAATTGATTTACAGTTGGCACTATATTAGGACTTTGGTAAATATCCAACCCCTCTACTAGTGTTATGTATATGAAGCTAAAAAATCCACAATTTTCATGTAGTGAAGAATCTGGCAAAATTTTATGACCAGAGTAAACAAATAACCAACTTGAGGGGAGGGGGATAAGAGATCTAATTTATTCACACGGAAAGGAGATACAGTGATTATTAAAACAAGTATCATAACTGGAAAAATTACAAATGATCTTAAAAAAGGGTTAAATCAATCCAATGCTAATGCTAAGTATTCATATGTCATTCAGCGAAAGAATGAACATGATATAGTGATTTGGTTCCATCTATTTGATGGAATATATGACAAGATAGAACCAAAGTTGCATACAGCACTGCTGAATATTTAGCTGTCAGGAATAGAGTAAACATTTATTTTGGTCCTAAAAAATATACATAAACGTCACATAGATCCTCTATTTCTAGCAACTAAAATTGATCTTCATGAATTAATGCTACTGGATTACATTCAAGGTTAAGGACCATTTTGCCTAATTTTAACAGCCAAATTGATAGAAAAAATGTGACATCCAGGACAAATTCAATGCTGCATATATATCATTGAAGACTAATCTTTATAAATGGAGGACTGATGTCATCTCACATCTTTCGAGGACCAATGTACAGAATATAATGGTAGTTCTAATTGTTTTATATATGCCACCAACCAAAGAATATCAGGGCTTTCCATAAAATAACATAGGCCCATATTCAAAATATTAAAGCAACCTTCAAGAGTATCTACTTAAGACTAATCAAACGATTTCTGAATTTCATTGAAAAATCCTCAGTGTGATCAATTATATATACATGATTTATAATTCCAAATATTGCAATACTAGGAAAATAAACAAACTAGGAAATTAAGAAAACAATACAAGTCAAACATTCACTATTTACAAAAATAAGTAGATAAATGCCCAATATACAGTGCCACTAAATAGAAAATTGTTAGGGTATAAGGAGAAGGAAGTTTATTAAGAAAGTTAGAATATTAATGGGTTACTTAGATTAGATATAAACAGGGGAAGAAGGATATGAAAGATGCACATTAGTTGTTATTGTAAATTGAACATTGCCTTTTTGAGAGAGGAGAAATCCTGTGTGAAGGAGAAATCCTTGGAGAAGAGAATCCTCTCTTATTTCTTTGTTCTTTTCATCCTACTAAATTCTTGGTTCCTAACAAAACTGTTCTCCTTAAATAGGAGACACTTTCCAACAGATCCAATCAGTGCCTCTTTTCTTTATTATTGTAGTTTAAAAGTATAAAACATTTGTGACTAATTGGTTAAAACTCAAAACGGATGCCCTTCACTACTAAAGCAACAACAGTAATTCCCACACACAGATCAGAATAGAAAAGTCTTGATCAGTACAACAAGCCTATGTTGAAAGGAGAAAGTTTAGACCGTAGGTTTCAAGGATAAAAAGAATGTTGTTTTTCAACATACAACAATAAAAGCAAACCTTTGAAGGCCCAGCTGCATGGAGAAGCCTACAGGCCTCTCGACCATGTTCTTCTGACTGAATCCTATAATAAGTATGAAATTTGAATATTTAGAAGGCAAAACAGATACATTGTAGAAATGCTCAAATAAAATGTATATGAATTAAACAGATAAAGAAAAACCAAAACAACTAAAAAACCTCAAACTACCTTTGCTTGATGAAAATATACTCTCGATTACTCAATACATTCTAAATAACAAGATAATTTGCTGGTGGATGTCAGATCTAAACCCCATTATTTCCATGAATGGCAAACGACAAATATATTTCCAACGAACCAACAAATGCCAACATGCTTTGCTGCAGGGCAAAGCAATAGCACACACTGAAAATTCCTAAAAAATAAGCATGATTACCTTTTCGGTCCCCTATTATTTATTTATATTGTTCAATTTGGTTCCTCTATTAATAAAAGGTTAAATCAAGCCTATCAATATTAAAAATGCAACAATGTAATCCTTTAATCAAGTCCCTCAATTTAAAAAATGCAACAATGTAATCCTTTAATCAAGTCCCTCAATTTAAAAAAAGCATCAAGGTGACCTCTTTGTCGGTTGGAATTGATGTCATTAGTTGTATACCTCACTATACATTGGTTACAAATTGTCTTATGCATAAATTAAAACCATAAGTATTTGTTTGGTATCCTTTACTGCTAATTGGATGGAAAGTGGTCACATTGTTGTGTTTTAAAATTTTGAGGGACTTGAATAAAATAACTAAATAATGGAACTCAAAATGTAATTAAGCCTAAGAACTAAAAGATTTTTTACCTCAATATGGGCATATACCCATACCCCGCACAATAAAAAATGCATCATTATGTATAAGAAAAGACCCATGGATATTCATAATGAGCCCAACTCCCCTCTTTCTCCCAAATTATAAAGGCTTAATTACCTTTTCAATCTCAATATTTATTTATTTATTTTATTCAATTTGGTCTAACCTTTTAATCTCAATTTCTAAAATGACAACCATGTGACTACTTTCCATCCAATTAGCAAAAAAATCGGCAACAAACAAATATTAAGAGTTTTAATTTATGCCTAATACAATGTGTAACATGAATGACTTCATTTTCAATAGATGAAAAAGTCACGTTATTGCATTTATAAAAATAATGGACTTGATTGAACCTTAAAATGATTACATTGTTGCATTTTTAAAATTGAGGAACCAAATTGAACAAAATAAATAAATATTAGGACTGAAAAGGTAATTAAGCCAATTATAAAGAAAAAAATAGAGGAAAAGAACACTTGTAGCTCAAAATGAAACCTCTAGTGCAAGCAAATGAATAGCATTGATATCATACAACCCCACAAATAATTTCATTTTGAGTTGCATCCATAACTTCATCTCAACAAAATCAATATTTTACTCCAAAAACTTAGTTAAGGACTTTTTGTATTGAACATAAAAGGAAACGAAATTGATGTGTTATCATCTATATACTAGAGAAAGGAAACCAAAAAAGGAATGTGTGAAACTTAAAATAATTATGCAATCTTAATTGTTATATAAATACCTGAAACCTGTCAGTAGTTCTGCCTCAAACTGGTTGGGGGTCAACATTGAAGCTACTGGAACAACCTGTCAAAATGTGTGTTACTCGGATGCTAACACAAGGGATATACTTTTCAAATTAAAAATGGAACACATGGAAGGGAAGTATGCCTGTATCGTCCAATCGTCCAATAAAAATAGGCACTTGTTAACTAAGTAATTATATCATTTTAAATTATAAGTGAAGGAATACAATAGTTTAGTTGAATTAGTTTATGCTTTTCGAATTTGTTACACTGTATATGACTACATAGTATATATAAATTATTTGTACTCCACTCCTGCCGAAACATCTTTGTACACAGTCATACCTTCTCACGATAGACTGAGACTAGCTCTTTGGGAACATAAAGCTTTCCTTCATCACCCATCACTGGATCACATACTGACAAGGAAGCACAATTTTTTTAAATGCAGAGGTACATATATACATTTATTCTCTAAATAGACAAAAAGTAAAACACAAGCTTGAGGTTCGAGTGCCCAACACCCAAAACGGAAAAACATTGAAACCATATTCCCCATGCTTCAGCTATCAACACTTAAAAAAAATAATGCAAAAACTACATTGGCCATCTGGAACACAAACTTTATTTGAGACTTAAAAAAGCATATTCCCTGTTGTTGGCTACCACAGGATATAAGTTTTCTGTTTTCTCCATTTATGTCTAAAGACTTAAATTATGTCTGACATTTCCTTTTAGTAATATCTAATTATTCATTCAAACTAGGACAAAATAAGATGGCTTGATGTTAAAAGTGAAGCTAAACATGATAAAAGAAGCACAAACACTGCATAAGGTCAGATTGGATAACTCATCAGTGCAACATTATCTGAATATCAAACAAAACCCATATCTTCAATATTCTCACCATATGTAAGCCCTGGGTTTATTGACCGAAGTTTGTTGACGACCTGCAATACAGTGTTTAGAAAAGACTCTGAACCGATATAACCTGAAATTGAAAATAGGTAACAGAATAAAATTGCAACGAACTGACAGGTTAGTGATTAAAGACAACTGACAATATTATAGTAGTTCAAAAAAGTATATCATATATATCATAACAATTATAACTTTTAATAAAGGGAATATTGCAGGATGACTCAACAATAATACAGAATAATGATTTTGAAAGAAAAAGAAACTTAAGTTTGTCACAAAAAAACAGAAGAATAAACACACAAGAATTCAAACATACAAAAGAATATGATACTTAATAAAAAGTCAACGAAACAATTTAATCTATTTTCAATAAGAAAGTTTGAAGTATTTCATCAAGAGCTATAAAGAAAGTTCAAGAAACACATCCTCTAAAATATATAGATTGCTACTTTACCTATTTAATAGAGTTCATAAGGGAAGTGACGTACAGTTCACAATCAAAAATACAAAGGGCAATATTTAAAATACCTGTTAACAAGTGAGTATAGAACAACAATTCATTTCCTTCAAGGCCTTCTATTAGCTCCCAGAGTTGCTGTCCATTCAAAACCTGGCCCTTAAACGACGGATATCCTGCATTACAATCCTCAAACTTTTAAACCATAACTGCAGTAGTACTTTAACAAGCATACCACACCTAGACTTGATCATATTGACAAATGGCATTACACCAAATATCAGGCCTCGGAGTCTTGAGAGACTGAATGAAAAATTAAACACTCAGCTTGCCTGTATGGTTTGAAAACTGCACGGAATTAATTGGATCCACATCGTAGCCCAGTAGTTGCAGGGGGAAGACAGCTGATTTATTGCCAACATACCCCTGAGAATAATACCAATGACAAGGTAAGTACTTAGGCAGCTGCATGCAACTGCCAATGACAATGATATTCAATTAATAATACCAATTACCAACAAGCATACTTGCATAGAATTTTACTACCAATAAGAAGAAACCACGAATTCAATTTTTCTTAATCCTAAACATCATGCATGTTAAAATACATCAACCTTTTCATCTTTTTCCAAAGCATTTGTTGTATATGAACATCTCAATGTAATGATTTCACTATAGGAAACTATACAGTTATTTTTCTTCCTTCCTTTCTACATAGAATCGGTAACATCTTCAACGAACATTTGATGCATTAAACAAGCAATCGAGGAGTAAACGCTGAAGAGAAAAACCTGAACGGTGTGAGATTGAATGCTGAGAACTCGACCGGTGTCGGAGGGAAGGGCGATGGAGAGGATTGGAGGCGCCATGTAGGAATTCGTGGAGTTTCTTCCCCTTCAAATTCAGAAAGAAGAAAAAGGAAATCGGTCAAAGAATATAATAATTGAAATGGAAAATCAGTGCGGTGAGGTTGAGAAAATTGAGAGTGGTGTGAGAGTAATTTTACCGGAAAATGCGAGTTTCTCGGGAAAATCTGAAGTTGGATCTATGCGTTAGCAACGAATGCTTTAACAGCATGGAACAGTGTTCAACGCTGAGCCAGCCAACGCCTGCGTCTATATTCATTCGTTCGTTCATTCATTCATATTATAATCAAATATCGTGAAATGAAAAATGAATAAAAGATTATAGATGACGATGGCACTTTTTATATATATTTTGTATTACCAAAGTGCCACCACACCAGAACGGAGAGAGATTCAAAATTTTGTAAATCTTGTCACTTAACTACAATATAAAGGTTTTTTTTAAGTAAAGATACTATGCTATTATCTTGGTTAAATAAAAATGGCAAAATTGCATTAGTCAATCCAACTAGGTAACTTAGAAAAATTGTACAAGTTAGGTTTAAATTCCTCTGACGATACGTTAGAAATTCCAGCCTAACTTAGCTCTGATTGGATTGTGAATTGATCTACCAAATAATTGCAAACTGCAAAATAAATAAGCTTGAAGTGTTAAAAATCTAAACAATTAATTAGTTTAACAAAATATTTAAAATAAATTTGAAATAATTAACGCGTATAAATTCACAACCACAAATAACTTTTAATTGACTTTAATAAATATTAGTAATTTTTAAAAAATAAAAATTTTACATAAGCAAATAACTTCTTTTTCAAGAGAAAAAAATCTCATATACTAAATATATATATATATATATATATATATTAGATTAAACTTATTTCAAAAAATATATTAAAAATTTACACTCAATTAATCTCATGCAGGTGTTTTTAGAGAAGAAAAGAAAAATAGATAATGTATTTAATAAAAGAAGAGGAGATAAAAAATTATTATAATATTTCTCACATGTATTTATATTTGTCTATTTATTTCTGATTGCTTTTTATTAAATAAATTATTCACCATTTTTAATATATTTTATCTTTATATCTCAACTATTTCTATTTTATCAAACAAATAAATATTTAATTTTATATCTTACATATTTATCTCTTTTTAACTTAATTTTATTTCTTTAAATTTTATTTTCTCAAAATCAAATACAAGAAACCAGTAGTGAGTTATAAAAGATGTTTTATAATATTATTTTGTATAATTTTAACTTAAGAAATAAATAATCAATATTTTTACAAAAGAATATAAGCAAATTAACTTTGATGAAAAATGTTTACAAAAATTATAGTAGAGAGTTTTTGAAAAAAAAAAAATCTTTAATCTTTCTTTTTCTCTTTCTCTTCTTCTTTCTCATTTATTTATCTCTCTCGTATTTTTTTGTGTTCCTTTCTTACCTTATTTTACTTCTTCTATTCTCTCACTGGTGGTTTGTTTACTATCTTAAGAATATCAAATAATTTTACTTCTAACTTTATTACCTTCTTAGTGGGCATGATTTATTAATTTAATTTCTGACAACCATCCATCCAACATTGGATAAAAATGGATAAGGAAATGCTATCGATCACCAAAAACACAAACCATGTGTATGGAAAGTCCTACTTTTCAATCCACGTTCTATCAATGTCATGTAAAAGCTTGATTAATTTAAGGTAGTCGATTTTTAAAATAATATAAATTAAATTATTTTATAAGATTAAAAATGTCTTCAATTACAATGTCGTAACTTATCATGACCGAAAATTAAAATGTCTTGAATTAATAGTAAAGTTAAAATTTTGTATTTTGTAAATTGATTCAATGAAGAAATTATGTTACAAATTAAATATGAAAAATAAAAACAAGAATTAACTTAACTTAAATTAAAAGATAATATCAATTAACAAAATAAATATAAATTAAATTTTTTTATATAGAAATATTATTATATATATTTAATATTTATTTTTATTGTTCAAATAGGACCTGAATATTATAATATATATTTAAAAGAAGGTGAATGATTTTTTTAGAGTGAAATGAAAGATCCTTTTTTTTTTTAATGCTGTGAAAAATAACGGTTTCTTCCCGTTAATAGGGATTTAGTGGGCCAACCTAAGTTTGTGTGGGTGGGTGGGTTTAAAGTTGACACATCTTAACTTGACAAGATGGCCCTCCATTGCAGCTGTTTTGGGCTGTCCTCTGTGTTTGGATCCAGCTTCAGACTCATGGGTAGGGTTGTCCATGGAAAAAATATATTTTAAAGTTTTATAAATAACATTATTTTTTAATTATTTTATCAATAAAAGAAAATATTGGCTCCTGATTTCTAAGTTCTGTCTCTATTACTATTTGTAATATATTTTTTATTATGGAGTTAATTTATTCAGTACATAAAAGGATATATAATAAAGGTATATTATGTGCATGTTGTGTGAAGAGTGATAAACAAAAATATTAAACATTGGGAGTTTGACTTTGGGGATCACGGGTGTATCATGTTCCTGAGTGTGATCAGAAAAATATGTTTATTTCACTCTAAAAAAATCATTCACCTTCTTTTATTTTAGTATTAATATTTGCGGAATCTAATAAAAGAAGAAGCTGGATGAATTTTTTCTTATAAAATGCAGAAAGTTTCATTTTAAAAAAGAAGACACACATTCAAATGAATGTTATCAGAAATGGCAGCTGAATTGGACCAATTGGTGAAAAAAAATGACGTTTACTTAACAGTAAACAATTGATAGTTTAATGTAGATTCTATCATGAAAACTATATAAGGAAACCCTTGATTCACCTACCAAAACCACCGGTCCAAGTCAAATCCCTAATCAATCCCTCACAACCATATATAGATCTACCTAAGCTTGTGCAGTTCGCAGTGGCTTATCAAATCTAAAATTCCTTGAATCCCTGTTATTAGTGTTTTGAGCACCACAAAACACCAATAATCAAACAATAACATATGAGAAAACCTTGTTGTGACAAAGAAGGCACAAACAAAGGTGCTTGGTCCAAGCAAGAGGACCAAATGCTTATTGATTACATCCAAGCTCATGGTGCTGGACGATGGTGTTCCCTTCCCAAGGCTGCAGGTTAGTTAATCATCTCACTCAATAATATTTCACAACTTTTTCTAATATCTTCGCTAAGTAACATTATGTTTAAAGCAATTAATAACTATTTGTTAAAAATAAACAAAACAAAAAATGTATGTAGTTAATTATACGTACATGTGGTTGTCAGGACTTCATCGTTGTGGCAAAAGCTGCAGGTTGCGATGGATAAACTATTTGAGACCAAACATTAAACGTGGCAACTTTGGCCAGGACGAAGAAGAACTCATAATCAAATTGCACGCTCTTCTTGGCAACCGGTACCTTCCTCCCCTAACTTAAGCATAACAATATAAAAGACACTCACATATAAGGAGAGATGATTGAAGTTAAAGTTGATCCACCAATATTAAAATATATGCAGGTTTAATAGGGTATCACTGTTAGTTGCATGTATTTTTGAAAAAAAATAAAAAATTAGTTAAAATACTGAATTGAAATTTGTGGATATATATTGTGTTAGGTGGTCACTGATTGCTGGAAGGTTACCGGGACGTACAGATAACGAGGTGAAGAACTATTGGAATTCTAACATTCGAAGAAAGCTGATTAAGATGGGAATTGATCCCAATAACCACAAGCTTCACCAAAGCTTCCCTCTTCAACATGCTTCTTCCCATGTTTCAGTATCCACTACCACTGCACAATCATGTGGAGTCCCTTTCATCAAATCCCATGGTTCTACCAATCATAGGATTTCGGACACACATAGCTCTCTTGTACAAGAAACTTCCCACTTAAATCTTGACCTAACCATTGCTTTCCCTTCACCTACACATGCTCTTCTGCAAGACAAATCTAATAAACCTATTTCTCACGGCACCAACTCAAGGAACATTCATCAGGATTCTGCTCCTGCCGGCTTTCTTCTCTTTCTATAATATGAATATTCAAGTGTACATATAGTTTCAAATATTAATATATGGAAACGCATGCAAAGAATACTGATGTTTAGATGAAATGAGAGCAGTTTCATTCTGCTTCTTTCATAATTGAATTTGTGGTAACGCAAAAGCAAAAAATGATGAATATACCGCGAGTCTATATAGAGATATTGATAAATTATTCACATGATTATCAGTGTAATGTTATACTAACAGATTTGCTGATGAAGTAATCTTGTACTATTTGTCCTAATATATATATATATATAGAGAGAGAGAGAGAGATTTTGTACAGAATATAAGGATTCCAACCTAAATCTCATTCATTGCTAAAGAATGACAAGTAACGCCACAAGTCTTGGTCGTGTATAAGAAAAACATAATGCATATACATTTACTTATAGTACTCTAATTTATATATACATTGATTCTTGTTATCAGTGATTAATGACTCAATATTAATCTAGTAGTCTTACTAAATCAATGAAAAAGTCGGTTATCAGAAGGGCAAGCCTTGAGTTTGTAAGATGGGCACTGGCCAGGCTACACTCATTTTAAATATAACCTTATTTAGTCTATTTTCAACATATACATTAAACAGAGATGATAACTCCGTCTCTAAAATTTCTACCATGTCTCACATTTTTAAATTTTTTGTCCATTTTAGACTTTATCTTTTTGTATACTATCTTGACATGTATAGATGATCCTGATGTGTGACTAGGAAAAGATTGATTTGTGGATAAGATATAACGTAAGAATGGAATGGATTTAATTATTTGAGGATATAAGAGAGTTGGACTTGGACAAAATTCTTACAAGTTCTGAATTCTGATGCAACATGCAACACGGTTGTTTAATTTTGGATGTAACAGAACCCAGAAAAACTAAAATAAAGGTCGTTTTAGAGGCTGCAAAGGATATGACACAACATTTATATGAATTGAATATTGATTGTTACACTTTCAATACTAATCAACCCAAATTATTAATGCCGTAGTCTTACTAAACTGAAGAAAAATTAGCTTAACAGTTAACTAATTCAAAGTTGAAGCAACATGTAACGAAGGAGACTAAGTAGAATTGACACCAATTTATTAGCCATTTTAATTTGGTCATTTTCATCAGCGTTGGGAAGATAATTATAATGATAATAATAATGGGTTACTCATGTTTGCTTCTTACACTACTGCAGAATGAGCATTCAACGTCGGGTGTAGAAGGCTTTCAACGTCAGTTCCAATGACGTCGTTGAATCAGGCGTCGTTGAATGTCAAAGGCTTCTACGTCGGTTCATCATACCCGACGTTGAAAGTGACTAAATTCTACGTCGGTTCTTGAACTAACCGACGTTGAACTCGCTCAAGCGACCGGTGTACTCGCTTGAGCGACGAAGCCTTCAAACAAAGGGGACTCTCGGGTGCTGCTTCACTCAAGCGACCCACGTTTCGCTCAAGCGACCGACATTACAACGTCGGTTAATACAAATCCGACGTAGAAATGAGTAAATTCTACGTCGGTTATTGAACTAACCGACGTTGAAAGTCCTTTCTCGCTCAAGCGACCGGTGTACTCGCTTGAGCGACGAAGCCTTCAAACAAAGGGTTCTCTCGGGTGCTGTTTCGCTCAAGCGACCAACGTTTCGCTCAAGCGACTGACGTTACAACGTCGGTTAATGCAATAACCGACGTAGAATATCCATTTTTTTTTTTAATTTTGGTCTGTTTTTGTGCTACCATACACGACCTGCTATATAAATCTCAGTCCAGCCAGATTTACACAATATATACACAATGTACAAAAATCTCAGCCAGGTCTTTTCACATAATCACTATATATTTACACAATACACAAAAATCTTAGTTCAGTCACATTATGTACATAATACACAAAAATTATCAATCAATCCTATTATTCCTAACTACTTGTACAAACTTTTCTACCCATTTGTTTCGAACCATGTCTATAGTATCCATAGGCAAATGTTCTATATCTTTAAATGCCTGTAAGAAGTTCACAATAATAGAATGGTAAACCCTAAGCAATAAAAATAAAGGAATTGAATATAATAGCAAATGTCAACTTACCTCGTCCCAACTATCCTGAATGCAACCAAAAATGATGAGCCACATCCAATACATTACATAGTAGCCGCACTCGTAGCCTCCATTTTGTTTGTTACACTAAAAATGAGTAAATATGTTAAAAATAACTATTAAATTTGAACATAAATTAATAGATAGTATAATATATATAAAGACTACTTACTTTGATAAAATTCCAATTTGGAGTCTGTGCTTTTACTTGTGTGTTTTCCATCTAATGTACTACAAACCTTTAAAGCACTATATATTGAAAATAAGGGGATTAGAAATAGAATAATCAAGATGTTTAGACATAATATAATAAATACTTACTCGTTTACAATATTTTTTAGCTCCATGTCCGGTTTTCTTCCCAATGAGCGAGAACCAACACACAAGATTCTCGCTTTGGACAAATAACTAATAGCTGCCGAGTGGTTTACGTATATACACATGATTAGAATCTATTAAAAAAACTTGTGTAAAACCAGGAAGAGGCTGGGATAACTTACGAATGATGGTATGCTCCAAGGTAAATATCTCTTTTAGAAACGAGTCATCCAATTCTGGATGTAGCGAGAATTTGATCACGCTTATTCCCGGACTTTTGTATGCATTGAGGCTCGAAGAATCCATACACATGACCAATGCCCTGCTCCACTATCATTTCGTGCATCATCCTAAAATATGCCAATTTAAGTGAACTTATAGCTTATATATTTACTAAAATGAAAAGAGTCATGAAAGATATGAACTTACAATGTCCAAAATTGTAAAACGACTATATTTAGACATTGATTGCCCATCCCAATCTCCAGGGCATCGAGTGTGGGAAATGTATAGGGGGATATTGCTAGAAGCCATCCCAAATAATGTACAATCCCATGGAACTTGGAATGACTCCATATATAATTGTGGGGAAAGAGACAAGAGATCAAAAATTGGATTTGGAGAAGTCTCCACAACTGGTGTCTTCTCCTTAGATGCGAAGGAGTGACAATAGCTTTACCCAAGTCTTTTGGCTGCCGAACATCCTACATATTTTATAAAATATAATCATAAACAATAAATCAATTTTTTTATGTGTTAGATGTATTATAACCATACATATACATACCTTTGCCATGATTGACTTAACTAAATGTCTGGGCCAAGTAATGAAGGTCCGAAGGGCTTGGCCCACTGTCCGCACCTCATCGGTGGGGATAGGGACACTAGCCGCAGCGTCAACCACCTTTTCAACCACTACTTTGACCAAGTTAGGATCCAAAGGCACATTGTGGATGGTTGAAGCCCCTTCATGAACTGATCCATGGGCCACTAGTCTTAGACCTTCATCTACCTCAACCCACAAGCCATATCGATCATCCTTTGTGGATTCAGGATGAATAGATGCCACCTCGAGTATGACCTCGATAGTGGCTTCAAGACAACTGCCCTTTGTGCTAACTCTTGGACCTACAAATACGAGTAAATTCCAATAAGGACTAAGATTTTAGAAACACAAGTCAAGTACCAATTTGTGGTTGAAAATGCACCTGATGGAGGATGAGCATCAGGCAAATGAAGTACCCATGGAGGTCATACGCGAGGAACTGCTCCTACACACGTGCAGGTGATGGTCTCCTCAAGTCGTGCGCCGATGGCAGGAGTCAACTCTTCCTCCAATTTTGCCCCGATGGCTGGTGTCAATTTCTCCGTGAGAGCCATCTCCAGGGCGGCAATATCTTCTTGGCTCGGGGATGTGGAGGTGCGGATATCCTGTAATGGTGGTCCAAAATACCGTCGGACACCCACACCTTGGCCAACAGCTCGAACACGACCGGATGTTCCGTCGTCCAATAGCAGTGGTCAAGATATCCTGACGACCAGAAGGGATGAAAGTTCCCTGTGTACACTGCTCCTCCAAGGCATCCTACATTATAAAAGTTAATTTTATTAATGAACATGTTACATATAACTAATTCAAAGTAAATTAACTTCTTTTACTTACAATCCGAGCAACAATTTGTCGGGCTTCCAGCGACGTCATGTCACCAGAAGGCTTTGTACGCGCCCTCTTCCACTTCTGGTGACGTTTTGGAGGAGATGGTGGAGGAATCTGCTCTTCTCTTAAACCAGAAGAGGCTAACTCCGACTGTCAAAGTCTACTCTTCTCCTCCATCATCTTCTTAGTCAATAAGTCGTACCCCTCACGAGACAGAAGGTGGGGGGCGGCATTCTTCCTCTGAATGTCTTTTGCTTTTTGTCTTCTTTCCTGCAACATAATTGAACACAATATTAGATACACAACTCATTATGAAATATTCAAGTCAATTAAGCCATAAACTATTACCTCCCACTCTGAACCAGTCCTACTATGTACAAACTTCTTCCAAGTGTCCTCATCTATGCCATATCTTTGGCAAGGGGTTAATCCCTTGCTAACTTTGTCCTCGACATACACCCATTTAGTGGTCAATGTGGACTTGAACTGTCTCCACATTTTTGCTATGGTCGTCATTATCTTCCTCCTCACATCCTCGAATTAACTAAATCAAAGTGTTCCTACAAGTAGCAAACAAGTTTTAGTTAATCAATTGATAATAATGTATAAACAATATAAACAACTAAATACACATACTTACAAGAAGATCTTGCCATAACAAGTTCTTCACAGTTTCCTCCACATGATCCCAAGTAGGATGGAGAATAGATATCTACACAACATAAACAACATAAATATCAATAATATATTTGAAATGAAATTAACTTTGAAATAGAATAAATACCTTCTCTCTAGCTAGTGTACCCAAGTAACTTCTAAATTGGGTACTCGAAGGGACCTGACACCTTGCCAGTCCTAGGATCAACGAAACGAGATAACTTCCGGCCGGATATGTGTCTAACGGTCAAGTCTTTCAACCGTGTAGA